GTCAATCATCTGATCATCAAACACGATCAGATTCTGTTTTTTCACATCAAAATAGAAATCCTGCTCCAAAGCCGTAGGAATTCACTTGATAAATTCAATGTGTGGCATGGCGACTAGCATTTCTGTATACGCGCCGGCTGCCATTGTGAATAACACCAAACGATCCTCTCTGGGGGAAGGTAAATTATGAAGCTTGATCTAATAGAGATAGAACCCAGGCCGCTTTTCCGGACTTGGTCATTCCAGCAGTCATGGAGGTGAAAGGATGCTCAAAGAGAAACCGCTGACATTTCTGTGAAGACATCGGAACTGTTTGAAATGGGGTGAGACCAGCATTGCGGTGTTTAGAAATCGCGTGCCTTTGCATGCTCTCCTTTCTACTAAACGATTTTTCGCAAACGGAACAGAACCAACTCATGTCAACTCCTCAGGAGCAGAATGTAGACTGAGAAAAAGGTAGAATGTTGCGCGTTTATATAGGTTTGGCAAGCCATGAAACCACATTTCTATTGCTTTCCTTCTCCACTACCACCACCACCACCACCACATTTCTATTGTTAAGTTATTAACTGTTTTTTTTTTTCGTTGTTGTTTTTACAATAATATGTTAAGGTTCTCTCTTGGGGTTTTTACTGTATAGCTGAGCCAATTTGTATGCAAATGTCGGCTTTTTAACTCGCATAATTAACTGACTAACGGCGCGTGAAAATGACAAGACCATATAAGCTCACCAAGCGCTGAGAGTTAGTCGTCTCCTCGAGATAGAATAGCTGAATTTTGTGCTTGAGTTTTGTTTATATCCTGTGTTTAGTCATGTTAATTTAAAGAAATGATTAAAGATTTTTCAGTTACACTCTGTAACGATAGCGTGTTCAACAACTGAGCGCTTTCATTTTGAACACATAATAATTTCTGCATGAGCCAATCATCAGGGTTAAAAGAGACCGGGCAATTCTAGGCCAGCCTATTGTTCCTATTGTATAAGAGAGACGCTCATTAGATATGGAGGAAGACGCTTATCAGTACGAAGGAACCCATTTTTTTCCTAGGTTAAAACAATGGGTGACGTCATGTACTCGACCCTTATGCATATCAATGATTTACCTCAACCTTACTAGACACTTACTCGACATCAACGGGGCTTAATTTCATACCTCTGTCACTACTGTGTTGGTAATGACAAGGGAAAAGAAAGTAACGTTTGAGGGTTTAACTCTTTTGTATGGGCGGGTAATGGGAGAAATCGGTGAAAGAAAGTATAAATATTTGGGGATAATTGAGGCGGATTTAATAAACGAAAAGGAGATGTAAAAAATTCAAGAGAGTAAAAAAGAATGCTGAAACTAAAATGTTGAAATCAACATTGAATTGAAAGAATAAGGTCATAGCGAATAACACCTGCGCACTGTCAGTGCTGACCAAGTATGGAGCAGGTAAGATGGGCAAAGGAAGAACTGAAAACATTGGATAAAATGAGTAGAAAGGTGTTGACAATGAATGGTGCTTTCCATTCAAAAAGAGATGTTGATAGGTTGTATGTATCAAGGGAGGATGGAGGTCTGGCCGACTAATAATCTGTGAGGGGTGTGGAGAGGTGGGGAAAATAGTTTGGGATGGTACGTGAAGAATTCTTGGGACGTTTTACTGCAAGGGGTAAGGTATATTGAACGTGAGGAAATTGTCAGTAAAGTTGATTGAAGACATCTTGGAACAATGAGCTGAAACTCGACAGTTGGAAGGAAAAAAAGCTGCATGGTCAATTTTATGAGGAATACCCGGAACAATGCATGAAAGAAAACTTGGAGGTGGTTACGAAAAGCAGACTCGAAGATCAAAACAGAAGCACTTATTTGTGCAGGCCAGGAACAGGCTCAGAGGACCAACCATGTAACTGATACCATGTTAACTGCAAGACCGTGCGAATCCCTCTTCTGTAGGGAATGTGTCGAGAGTGTAAAGCATATTGTCTGTGAATGTAAAAAGTTTGCCCAAAGGGAATATAAACAGAGACATGACAATATTGCAAAAGTAGTTCGTTGGAAGTTATGTGAGAAATATCATCTGAAAGAAGGACGTACCTGACAGTGTGAGTAAAAACGATGAAGTTAAACTACTGTGGGATAATGAACATCCAATGTGATCATGTCATCGATGCTACAATAGACATGATCATTTGGTTGTAAACAAACAGGAGAGAGAGTGCACCATTGTCGATATTGCTGTAGCAGGTAGTAAGAGAATTGTTGAAAGGAGAATTAGAAGGTTATAAAATATCAGGAGCTTAAAAGAGAAATTGCAAGGATATGGAACATGAGAACTGTGCAGGAGATACCGATTGTTGTATGATCATTGGGAAGTGTGACAAAAAACTTGGATAAGTGGCTGGAATTAGACTGGACATTAGAATAAGTATTTCATTAATCTAAAAAACTACACTACTAGGAACAACAAGGATTTTAAGGAAAGTATTAGAGTTTTAGAGTAAGGAGGTGAAATCCAAGGGGCCTTTGGTCAGGGATTATGACTCGCTCCCTTAGCAGGTAAATCGGTATGAGATCAGCCAGTGTACAAAGCAAGAAATGATTATAATAATAATAATAACAATAATAATAATAATAGTAATTTTAATGATAGTTATAATACTTACATTGTTAATAATGGAAATAGGTCTGAGTGGAGTCAGGAGACCACATAGCTGGAGGCTGATTTGTATAAAAATAAGTAACATTTAATCGTAACTGTAACAAAATTTGTGATACTTTCAGATTTTATGAAACTAAAACACAAGATCTTGTAAGAGTTTCATGCCGCTAGAAGAAAAATATAATAACAACAACAAAAACCAAAAAAACGTCGAAGAGCGTTCGCGATGGAGTGATTATTGTACATTACTTATGTATATATGACGGGTACTGCCCCCGGGCACTGTATCCCATTACACCGTTATTATCATAATTAGAACAGCGCTAGCATTTAGTAGTGGTAATAGGACTCAGATTAGAATCAATTCCGTCTGTAATCATCGGAGTCGTAGAGAAAACTGTTTCTCAGTAGTCCTTTTGTGGTCGCACACTAGAAATAGAAAAAAAGACAAGCTAAATAGTAGCATCTCCTGTTTTTCAGACGTTAACGAGTGTGCTACAGAAAAACACAACTGTGACAACAGCTCCAAATGCCATAACACCAAAGGATCCTTCCTATGTATCTGCAGGACGCCAGAATATTTGTATAGGTAATAGCATGATTGGTAGTGATATTTGGCATAAATACGACGAGTGATATTTCAAAATTGTTATACGTAATTTCACAAGCCGTTAGGCGAGTGAAATTTGAGACAATTCTGAAATATCACGAGTGGTATTTATACCAAATATCACGTACAAATCATGCTATTTTTCGTTTATACTACTACCCGCAGAAGGGTTGTAATTTTCACATGTAGGTATTTCAAATTAAGCTGAAATACCACTGCTCTAAGCCAATCAAATTGCAGAAATTTCTCATGTAGTAGTATAACGGCGTTAATTGCATCGGTAAATATAATGTACATTGAAATAGTAGATTCCTCTGATAAAAATCGCCGCGGTGTAATTGGGGTCTATCAAATGGTGAAATCATGTTCATTACTGTCATCATTGGTATCGCGTTTATTTCCCCTTTTTCGTTGATATATATTTTAGAGAAGAAAAAAATCAAACCAGAAAGGTTTGTTGAAGTCCTTTGGTTTCAATTTGATAAAAGCACATGAAGATTTGACATGATCTTTAAGGTCAAGTAATACGGGCAAAATGTTCTTTTAACTTGTTGCACAACATTGTTAGTTGCATTCCAAGTTCAAAAGCGTTTTTGCCCTTCGAGTTTAAGAGTGCAAATTAACGGTGCAGCCTTGTCTAAAATCAATCTGCCCGGTATTTTGGGCCATCGCTGTTTGTACGTTTGATTTTGTGTCAAATTAGTATTTATTACGCAGTAGCTTTTAATACCGGTCTCATTTCGGTGGCTGAACACCGCGATAGTATGTCTTTAAACTTAGAGGTTGCCAGTACAAACGATTCACGTGACTAAGTAAAAAAGCACCCCAAGCACCCCATCCCCTCAATGGAGCTTTGCGGTCTCTGGGTTAAGGGAAGAAGCTGACGGTAAGACCGATACGAAGTTTTCGTTCAGACCTTCTTGTTCCATCTTAAGACATCAGATAGTTACAGCAGCAACAGAATATGTATAAAAAACACTAGAAACCACTTCTTTTTGCAATCGTTGAAGCCTATATTTTACTTTCCTGTTATTTTTAGCGTTCATGGACTCAAATATATTGAAAACAGATTCTTCGTATTTGTACCATCTGGGAAAATTTCTGGAGCCTGCGGTTGGGTACAATTCCCAATGGCTACTGTGCTGGCGGGCTACATTGCACGGCTGGAATGTCCGTACACAGTTTCACAGACGCTGCGATGGAAAAAGAGACACAGTTACCATAATAAAAAAGGGTAAATACGTTTTTGGAGGTTACACGGACATTCCTTGGGGTAAGAATATTGCTTGCTCAGTTTAAAACCAAATAGCAATAAAACGTAAAGTTGAGCCAGACCAGTCTTCTCAACTATTTTTATTGCTGTAAGAACTAGGGAGGCTGGTTGTTACGTATTAACGATTCTGTAAAATTGCGTATATGTTGAATATCTATCCTCCCGGTTCCTGGCAAGAAAATACATGGACTGTAGTATTGACTCAATACTATGTCTTCAACACAGGCCACCAAACTGTGACACCCACGGGCATTTTGTGTCTGATTTTTGGCAACATAGCTATTCTTACCAATTCGAGTACGCTGATTTCGAAAATTACTGTTGCCAAGCTCAAGCTTGTGTTAAGGTGGAGTTTTGGGGCATTTCCTTATGACATCACTGTGCAATAGATCCAGAAATGGTTTCAAAGAGTTCTACGTATATTTTAAAGACCATTTAGAGAATTTATAAAACGCTGTTTCTGCGAATTTCGAGGCGTTGCATGACAATTCACCACACCCTTTGATATAAAATTCACACAATTATGGCTAAAGATGTGATATTTTTCGTAATAATTCTATTGAGATAAATAAAAAGTATATTAAAATAAGCCATTCTTTGATTGCACGTGCTCTTGACAATTATTGCAAAACCTTCCCATTCCTGCACTTTTCCTCTCACTAATAGTTACAAGACCAAGGCGACTTCGAAATTCAAGTAAGTTCACATAGTTTAGGATAGCTGGACTGCTTAATAAAATGTAGGTGCATGGAGACATCTAAAAAGAAAAGGAGCTGCAGCGATTCTCTCAGTACAGACGCTGAGGAGTGGCTTTCCACAAGGACCGACGAGAGATGTGCAAAGCTGCTAGAAGCGCAAAGACACAGAAAAGTGTTTGTGATGAACAAAATAAAGAGACAAGAAAAAGAGAAAGCGTACGAGATGTAACCACTCCTAGGGCTTTCCACAAGTTGCTCGGCAACTTTTTGGCAACTTCTCGTACTTCGAGCAACTTCTCGAGTTATCTTCTAATTCTGAGATATCGGAGCAGCTTTTAGTGCTTCAAATTGGCCTTTCTTCCATATTTCACAATGTTTAAATAAACAATTTCTGAATTTCCTATAAAAAAAGAAGCCAAATCCTCCCTCCTGGGGCAGATCATGGGCGCAAGATAAAAGTAGCCGGGCTGCTAGGTCAGCTGTTTTTAGAGAAAATTCATAATGGTGGACGAAGATTCACACTCGACTGACTTGTGTCTCGGGTGAAGAAGGACATTCAACATTTTTATTGGCTCATTAGACTTTCTGGTTTTTATTTAGGACAAAGTTATTTAGCAACGCTGGTTACGCCGCAAAATTGCACAAAATGCTTAGAAATCTTACTTTTGTTGTACAAGTTGCACATTTTAGCATCAGACCAAAAAAAGTTTTTTGTTTTTTTTCGAGCAACTTTTGAGGAACTTTTGTTTGTTTTTTGAGCAACTTTTTTGAGAAATACGGGAAACTTTTTGGTTTTTGGAAACTATTTGGTGCTTAACGAAGAAGAAAAAAAAAACAAGAAAAAAAAGTTAAACAGAATCATTACACTTGACGGTGGAAATTACAAGACTTAAATCCCAGAAATTTTCGCTTTCGAATTTTTTTAACTCCACGCAAACATGCCAGGCATCCGACCCGGCAATCCCGCTAAAATTTCTCATAACTATACATAATTCTGCGAATGTTTGGACAAGAATCAACCAATCAAACACTACCCGGTTTTCGGGTAGTGACGTCACACTGGACGGGATTAGCAGCCGGTCGATTCAGACGTTGCTAAAAGAGTAAAAAAGGACTCAAAGTAATTGTCTGAAATTCAGGCTAATCTGGATAATGCAATAAAATTCCGCCTAGCTGAGGTCAGCGATCTCATTGGTGCAAAAGAGCCGGCAAGGTACAAAAAGTGTCTGAGCGCTTAGTACCAGACTGGCAAAAAGAAAGAGGAATCTCAACAGGCAGTTATCATTATGATTTTATCTGCTTTGAGCTCGGTCACTATACTGCAGTGCGTAACCAAATACTCCAGCTATCTGACGTATGGCCGGGATATAATAAGCCAGCCCAAAAAACCAATACACAAATACCGCAGTCATTTATCAACAGGAAAGCATCATGAGAAAAGTTGGAGACTTGTTCGAATTCTTAAGTACTGATACAGGGGATTACATCACACAAGTTATGATGTACGCTGTTAGTAGATCTACTGCACAAGGAGGGCCATATACAGCTACGACAGGCAAATCCTCAAGTTGGACCCCTCACTAGCGCAAGATACAGTCTGTTCTTGAAAGAGATAAATGGCACCGTTGTCCTAACTGGATTTAAACCCGGACAACTTCCTGATGCAGTTCACTGCTAATAACATTGACATCAACCATTCGTTACTAGGTGGAAAGGACACTTTCCACGCAACACCGGTACCTGGTTGACAAAGAGGCCCAAATAAAACAAAGCATTTAGCAAGCTTGAGGCCCAAAGTGAATTGTGAAATAACTAGGATTCAACATTGCACAAGAAAAACAAAAAGTTGTATATGTATTCCTAAGTACATTACAAAAAAATAATGGCTGTCTTTACACTAGGCTGTTAAGTAAGACTTAAGAGCTGCTAAGTTTTACTTAACCAAAAATTCGTGTGTGAAGGCCTAAGTAAAATCTCAAGTAACTTTACTTTGCATCTCATTAAAGTCGGAAAGTTGAAACGATTCAAGAAAGTTTCAAGCGACTTGAAAAGCATCCTTAAAACCGACTTAGCTGACTTGCGGTTACTTGCAGTTTCTTGGGGTGCTTACCATTTGACAGAAAAATCTGGCTGGGGTTTCGAAAGCATAATGGTAAGCGATTTACCAGTTTACCGTAGAGTTGCCACATCCGTTACGGTTTGAATCCAAAAAGGGGGCGAATACGTCTGGAACCGAGAAATTGGTAGTTGGTAAGCAACATTCCGTTTGGTTTGTACCAACTGGAATGAACGGACTACCTCAAAACGTACTCCTCAATTTTTGGTTGGAATTTCCGAAAAGTGACCTTACCATTTACCATCCATCCGGAATTTCCGAAATTTTCTGTCAAATGGTAAGCACCCTTGAGGTTTGAGAAAGGCGAAACACGTCAATCAATCGTAATTATGTTGCGTGGGAAAATAGCCTTAAGTTAACCCGAAGTAAAAAAGAATCGGTTGTGTGTGAAGCTTTATTTTACTTGAAGTAATTAAAATTTGCTGCTCTTGAAATATTTCTTAGCTTATTTAGGCTCTAGTGTAAAGACTACCAATGTGATAAATATACAAGTGATAAGGTGATTTTTCTATAAGAGGGCGTGGTCAAGTGTCACGTGATGGCTGTATGTTAATATAAGCAGCGTAAAAACAGTCAGAAATTCTTAGAATATAATTTTTAAAACACTAATAACGCTTTAAAAGAATTTCTGTCTCTTTTAAATTTGGAATTGTTAAAGGAGAGAAAACCCCTCATTTGGACAATGACGTCATAGTGAGAATCCCCAAACTCCACCTTAACACAAGAACTGAGTTTGGCAACAATGATTTTCAAAATCAGCGTACTCAAGCTAGTAAGAATACCTATGTTGCCAAAATCAGACATAAATGCCTGTGGGTGTCACAATTTTGGTTTCCTGTGTACCCGACCAGAGTATACCCGCGCAAAAAAGTGAAAACTACCGTATTATAATAACTCACAGCAATTTTTGCGGTAAAATCCTTTATACTTACCTGACGGGATACCCGTCGAATGGAATATATTAGATACGTCGTCTTTACCCGCGGCGTTCTTCACCATCAGTCGGCCATGTCTGATTACAGGGTTATTAATTCTTTCATTTAAGTCCAATTCTTATTTCCTCAGTGGCACTTATAACATGTAGATTTAGCGAGGGCCAAGAACGAAGCTCTCATTTGATCTTTTAAGTAATGCCTTTGAAGAAAGCTGTAAACCTGAGGCTTCGATACGGACAGTTGTTAGCGGATACCCTATTTTGACAAGTGGATGTCTAATATCAAGTTAATCACAAATCGAATATACCTTAGATTAACGCTAGTGAGTGTGACATTTTGCTAATATGAAAGGGCGGACGTAAGGACGGAATATTGTGTCACAATTAAAATTTCTTGAATGCATAGATAACCAAATTTTATTATCCATAGTGCCCGGCTGCTAGTGTTTCGCGAGCACGAGAGCCCCGCTGTTATACCTAATGTTTACCTACAATCCTCGTCACATTATGTTGGGACACCCCGTGCTGTACCCATTTCCTGACAAAAAAAATGTGCCCCTTCCCTCCCAGTGTTGTTGTTGTTTTTTTTTGCTTCTGTCATTCCAACTCGCAAAATCCAACATTAAGGGGGTAGAAAATACCACTACTGTCCCAGCTATTGTGACGAGTGTTGTAGGTCAGTCAATTCTTGTACCTTGGTAAAACGATCAAGTCAAACAAGTCGACATCATGTGTTCTTATTTACATTGGATTATTACGGGATAAAAAGAAATGCTTTATTATTTTGTTTTCATTTCATTTATTTATTTCTGCCGCTAAAATTTATAACTTCGAGGAATCCATCTCCATTTGTTATTGTGTCTAGTTACATATTTTGCTTTTGTTGTTTACACTTTTAGTTTTTTCGATCAAGTTAGTGTGTGTGAAGTTCCAGGCAGGGTACCCCCATAAATTTCGGATAGATGTTTGTCTCCGAGGGCCTGAAGTACTGACCCTACTTGAGGATGATAGAAACGAAAACTGATACCTTATTTAAGGGCATGTCTCCGTAAAACCGACCAGTGATTTCGGATCAAAAAATTAATTTTCCCTGTATTCTAGGATATTAAAGTCTTTACCTAATTAGTTACAAAAATGCATTTTGTTTGACCGGAAATGCGAAATAATTTTTTACGAATTTTTGAATTTTCGGCCGGCTGGCACCGCGCCATAGCCTTTGAAACTGCAAAACTTGCCTACATTGCCGGGGCTACAGAAAACAAACAACTCGTTCAAGAAGCCCGATTTTCTTTTTAATATACGGATACACCACCCGAATTATTTATTCATTTTAACGGCAAGAATCTTTTTCCTTGCACGTGTTATCAGTCTGCCATCAAAACCAAAAATAGCGCAACTTTGAGGGCAGTTTAAAAAAGTGTGGCACCTGTCTGAACGTTGCTATCTGTATTAATACAAACTAGAAATGATAGTAAAACGTAAAAAGGAATAAAATTTATGTGCTTTTCACGTTTTCGAATATGAGCACCGTTTGAATTTCCAGAAATTTCGAAGATAAGATAATCAACGAACACTTGCCTTGTTATTCTCCTCTTTTAACTTCGCTGTTTGTAATGTCCTTCTTGGTTTGTAGAGCCGGGATACTATTGTACCTTAATTAAGCAATCGCTTTTACTAAAATATTGGTTTTCTTATCATTTGTCGTCCAAGGGAATTTTTTGTCCTGTTTGTGATAAAAGTAATGGCACTCGTTGCTGGTCGCGAGCGTAACACGGTTGTTTCGTGACATTTAAATTTTTTCCGCTATTTGTTAGAGGTAATTGCCTTTGAATCGCCATACATCGATAAATTTACTTCTTCATTTTAACGTAGATGCATTGAAAAAATTGGCTCAACACATTTTAGAGAAGAAAATTGAGAATCCACTAAAACGCTACCAAGAGAGAATGAGGTGAAGCTACAAAAGATCGTTCCAGGCCCCACTGTTTTTCGAAAAATCATTGGACAAGATTAAGACGTCGAGGATTTTTTTAAAACGTTTCTACGTGATTATGTATAGGTAATGAAACCCAATAAAACCAAGAAAAAAGTGTACAGCTCTTTAAAATGATTCAGAAGGGCAAGGGCTAACGTACCTGGGCCGTGGCCACGAAACGTGAACTCTTGCCCTCTTTACTTACCACATAATTATGCATCCGAAGAGCTCATGTAGCTTTTGTAGCTTTTCCATCGGGTAGCGGTAAGCATTAAGATTAAGAACCTGGGTCTTAGAGTTCCTTGTTAGCGCATATTTTTGTGCCTACAAAAGAACAAGCAAGTCACTGGAAAGATTTTTGTTGTTTCGATCTGACCATGGAGCGCATGATCTAAATCGTTGATACCCAGCGTTTGGCCCTATTACTTCAGCAATGCATATTTCTTTTTCCATGTCTGTTCCCTTATTCATTCTTTTCCATCTCGTTGCTGTTCTAATCTAAGTAATGACGACCTTCTTTCTTAGAGGCCAGGTCTAAAAACAGGTATGGATTTAAGAGGCCAGGTCTGAAGAACAGTGTCAAACTGAAATGACCTTTTTTGGTCTGAAAAAGGGTCCGAGCGGCACAGCCCCAACAAGAATTCCAGCCCCCCCCCCCCTAATGCGGATCACCACTAAAAAGGTTTCACTTCATTCTATGCGTATTTACCTACAGAAATACCAGTGACTGCAGACTGTGGCTCAATCCAGATGCGACGGGTATACCACGGGTAGTTTCATAAGGCTTCAAAATTATTTGTAATACCAATTACCGATTGAATAGAAATTTTTGTAATGCTACAATACATTGTCTCTTCATCTGTTCTTCTGTACATTTGCTCCATGAGTAATTTCCTCTGGCCAATTTCAATGCTTATTTTCCTCAAATTTTTGTTTTTGCGTCTTGACCGAAGTACTGCAAATAGCTGTATCACGACAATGATGAGCTTGACTTTCGACTCATATCGACTCATAGCAGAGAAGTACTTTTTCGGACCAACACAATCGCGACTTGCACTGATTATGACGGGTTGATTGACAGATGGCAAAATAAACTCAAAACAGTCTTATTCCCTAGTAAGATTCGAGGTCTCGAAAAATACTTTTAGAATAAAAGTTGATTTTATCAAGTAAAATTGTCAAATTTCCGCGTTGTTTCCTGAGTCACGTTCATCTTCTCTATTAAAAGCGAAATGTCTATTAATATTAAATTGACTTTCAAGAATGTTAGAAATCTGGATGCAGAAAAAATAAATAGTTTGTAAAAACCTTCCGTGCACATTTTACATAAAGCAAAAATTCAGAACTACTTTACAAAATAAACTAGCCTGCGTAGAATGGCGGTCTTATCGCGCGAAGCTCGCACGAACGAGCATTGCTCCCGCCCCAATCTCCTCGTGGTTTCACAGCCCTCGCCCGCCTTATAAGCTTGTACTGCGCGCCAGACCAAAACTACGCAGGCTAATACAGTGGAACCCCGTTAATACGACCACCAACGGGCCATGAAAATTTGGTCGTATTAACGGGGTGGTCGTATTAACGGGGTAGGGTCAGATTTCATGAGCATTCTATTTTAAGTGGCATCTTGACAGATGTACATAACAATTACAATGTTTAAATAAAAATCCGGGATGCAATGTTAAGAATTTGATCTTTTATCTTTAATATATACATGATTATACAACATTAATCACGGAAAGATAAACATAACTGTATTAAAAACGAAACGTGAACAGAGTTGGACCGGTCGAGTTGGCTTTACACGTATCTCGAGACAAAGTCCCTGCTTTGTATTAAATGTGTGAGTACTGTACTGTAAATTTAGTCTATTGTCTTTCAAGGTCACGATTTTGAAAAAAAAATTAGAAACTTTTGTCTGGCTTGTCCTGCGTTGCAACCAATCCCTCTGGGCATTAGAGATTACTTTAGACAGAGAATCTGCCGTGTCAACATTCCCCTTGGATTCAATTTGCAATTTAGCTAAGCGGATGTAAAACCACGGTGCTGTTAATGTTTTACTGTTGTATCAGGTTATTGTAATTTGCTATTTGATGTTATGAGTGATCAGTAACAGGACATACTACAGCTGCATTTGGTTTGCGTGGTCGTATTAACGGAGTAAAATTATAAAGGATTATACAGGTTGAGATTTCAGAATGTGGTCGTTGGTCGTATTAACGGGGTGGTCGCATTAACGGGGTTTTCTTATGAGGAAATGTATGGGCGTTTCGCCGGGACAAAAAAAAAGTGGTCGTAATAACGAGGTGGTCGTATTAACGAGGTGGTCGTAAGGCGGGGTTCCACTGTAATATAACCGGAAAAATCAAACACGTAATGGAACAATTCCTTTTAAAGGTTTAAGGAAAACGTTCAAGAGTCATTCTCTCGACCTTCTCTTTATGTAAAATTGGATTCACAGTTTCTTAGACAACTCAGTCGGCACAGGTTATCGCCTCCTGATCAGCATTAAGAATACTATTACATTACCATGACTTGATGAGTAGTTTTTTTTTTTCAACTGAAAGGTAAAAAGCTAAGTCCGTACTAGACTGCAAAACAGTCGGTTTTTCCCTCAAAATCAGTAAAGAAATCAGTAAAGCGTGGCGTAAGAGTGTTACGCGCGCGAAGCGCGCGAGCCTCACACGCCCTATGGGCGTGTGAGGCGAGAGAAAAAAAACCGTATTTTTAGCGTCTCTCCCCAGTCTCGCTCTCTGTTTTCAGCCTCATTCCAGACCTTTTGTTTGACTGCTCGCGCGTACTTGAATACGCAATAATACGGACTGTTTTGCAGTCTAAGCCCGTACCTCGAAAGAGACATGACTATCCTCGTAGCAAACCTGAGCCCTACACCCACCCTTCTAAACCCCCATTAATGCTCCTTGTTATGGGTATTTACAGCTACTTAAAGCTACAAGGAAAGGAGAGAAGGCGAAAAAGGGATTGGAGGTCACATTTGGGGATCGGCCTTTAGACTTCTCCCATAGAAGGCCGCGCAATAACCAACTGTACTAATCCTTTCTCCTCAAAAGCAAGTGAAAACGCAAAGTTGCGCAGTAGAAAGCCTACCGGACCGAGTGGGACTTGTGTTTCCAAAAATTGAGTGATGTTACATGATCATTTTTTAGCTTTTTGTTGCTCCTAAAAAAAAAAAGATGTTGACACGTCCTTAAAGGGCGACAGTTTCGAGCCAGTTGCAGCCCAAATAACGATCAATTGTCTCACACATACGAACAGACCCGCCCTGACGAATATCAGTTCGTATTTTAAGTGGTTCGTTATATCTTTTCTTTTCTTTTCTGCAACGTACATACTGAATATGTCTAACCTCGAAAATCTCTACAAGTAGATTTTCCCAAGGCCACAGCAGACAGTCAGTCTGTACACTCCTTCGCCATGGTAAAAAGAACAACAGCAACAACAGCTCGTTATTAAGGACAGTTTGCTTTGTCCCTGGGGAAAGAAAATCCTTACATTTTCTCTAAATTTACTCCGAGATGGTCCTAAGATCTTTATTTTGCGTTAAAGATACAAAAATAGAGGTTTATTAATATTTAACTCTTTGAAAAAAAGGAATTAATTTTTAACTTACATTTTTGTTAACCGTAACTGAAAAAAATTAACCGAAAGCCGTAAAAGAGCCAAAATTTTAGCCGAAAGCCGTAAAAGCCACCTCCCCATTGAGACCCTCTTGTCTGCTTCGTGTTTATTCCTTTTTACGTTTTACTATCATTTCTAGTTTGTATTAATACAGATAGCAACGTTCAGACGGGCCACATTTTTTTAAACTGCCCTCAAAGTTGAGCTATTTTCGTGTTTTGACTGAAGGCTGATGACACGTGCCAGGAAAAAGATTCATGCCGTTAAAATGAATAAATAATTCGGAACTGTGATATGGCGAGGACATCTGGAGTGGTGTATCCGTACACATGTTTTAAAAAGAAAATCGGGCTTCTTGAACAAGTTGTTTGCTTTCTGTAGCGCCGGTAATGTAGGCGATTTTTGTAGTTTCAAAGGCTATATTGCGTCGGTGCTAACCGGCCGAAAATTCAAAAATTCGTAAAAAATTATATTTCGCATTTTCGGTCAAACAAAATGCATTTTGTACCTAATTATGTAAAGACTTTAATATCCCAGAATATAAAGAAAACTAATTTTTTGATCCGAAATCACTGGTTGGTTCTTACGAGGACGGCTCTTCAGAGGCGCACCACCACAAAATGAGACCCAATTCAAGAAAAAAAAAACACAAACTAAGAATTTAAAGGCAACACATACCCTGCGTGATCAGAAGGCCTTTTCGTAAATTAATTGTCAGTCATGCACGCGAAGAAAAGACCGTGAGTAAAGAAACGCCGAAAAAGTCTTCATTAAGTCGCTTTCATGATACTCTAAGGTAAAGTTCAGCTAATAGACCATTTTTTTTTCTCGTGTAGCTGGGCATTTATACCTGTAGACTCTTGAATGTTAACCAAATGATAACGGCGGGAACACAACACTAACAAGGGAAAAATTGATTCAGTATGGAAGAATAAGACCCTCAAATACCATACTTTTTCGGGCGTCACATACCTATCTAGCCAAAATATGGGAGTACCCCACTCCTCCCCTCTCACAGCCCTCCAAGCAGTCAAGTTGAAGTTTAGTAAATTGAATCTAGTTTAATACCTACTACAGCTATAATCATTTCTGCACAAAACAGGTATCAAACTTGTTATGATCCCGGAATCGGTTCAATGAGGCCCTGTTGGAGGGGGTTCTTATCCCTGTATCCTTGTAAATCTAAGAGGACATATCCCTTATCCCTAAACGTTGTAAGAACGTTACTACTAAAAGTCAGGAAACACGCAGGGGGAGGTGCTGGGGGAAAAACTTGCCCCTTTCCGCGCACGTTTTGTGGGAAAGAAAAAAAAAATGTTTGCCACAAATTTTTGTAGTTACATTCATGTTAGAACGAAAGAAGGTATAACTGTAGCTGAAAAGATGCAATAGTCATTGTGATTGTTATGGCATTGCAAAGGCTCGATTAATCCGTTTCCAGAGGCGACTTTTTACGCGTGTAAACCAGCGGCGATTTCACAAAGACTCTTCTCTAGTGCTAACAAAAACACAATAACCATGCAGCCGTTGTCTCGTGGGTTTTGCGAATATAGTAAAATGGGTTTTCTTGGCGGCAAAGATATTCCCACCTTATTATCCAGTTTGCGATCCTATAACCAATAAAAGTAAAGGGGAGAAAAATAAGTGTAGATCATAATTAATGTAGAACCATGATGAACTTTCATTACTCCCTAAAACAATTCAATTATCCCCAAAATTATTTTCTCGATTATCCCTTACTGGTTCCCTTATCCCTAAGGAAAAGGTGTGAAAGGTTAGTCATCACATGTCAATGCAAATAAGAAATGCATTATCATTGGCGTATATCATACATCATCTCTGTATATCTGTCTTTAAAGACTATGTCCATTTTCATAACTAACTGTAAGGAATAGCAATACAATAAACAAAGGGAGGAAAATAAGAAAAAAAAAAGGAAAGTTGAAAAAAATGTGTGATTCCATTTCACTCATGGTTCTTATTAAATTTGTTTTGTTTTAGTTTATGATAATTCTTTCAAAGTCAAGAATAAAAATAAATAAATAAATAAAATTCAAACTAAGGAAAATACACTACAGAGTAACTACACCACAGTGTTTACTCAAAAGTTAATACTTACGTTTTGTTGGTTTGTTAGAGTCCAGTGGTGACTTGGGCTTCACTCGCAAGGCGTTTATTTTTTCAATCAGCAATAAGGAAGAACTGGATCCCTTTGTAAGTGAGGTGAGGTGGCCAGACGGGGCAATTTACAGGGCGTCAGCGTCTGGTCCATGGTTTGGTTTTGACATCATCATTGCTAACAATAAGAGGGAATCATACGCACGCCTTGACTGGGCCTACCCTGCTCCTGCTGCAGTGCAGGACAGGTCCACAATCCTGGCCGGGACTGAGGACTTCTCACCTGATGAGGTGGAGGTATTTTATCTTGACCCTACTCAATAAATATAAAAAGAACCATTTCATTATTTACGGCCAAAAAACATGCAGCTATATTAACATACTTACTACCTTCAAAAAAATGTACTTCCCAATGTATATTTCTCGACAATGTAGAAAATCTTCCTTTCTTTCTTTTCTTGATCTTTGTTAAACACGAGACAGGAATATAGTTCTTGTTTACCTTTTTAAGTTTTTTTTTTTTACGTTATTTTATTTTTAGTCGAGGAAAGTAAAACTGATAATGATTTTTGTGATTTGCGTAAATTACTATTTTACTGGAGTAATTAAGCTTTAATTTCATTATAAGTTTAATTGTTTAACCATTTTAAGTATTTTAATAGTTACTTTTAAGATTTGTATTTCTTCTAAGTTTCGTTTTTCTATTACTAGGTGAGTCAAGGTTAATTTGGATTTGGTGCGCATAGGCATTTTCCTTTTTTTTATTTTGTGATTTTCAGACTTCTACTTGAAAGTTTGCTTAGCTCGCGGATTTACTTAATGCCATTTTAATTAGGAATATTGTTCTCTTGCCATGGTCGGATGTTAGTTTTTCATATACGTAATCGTGTTTTTCATGTCAGAGCTGACCTTGGTTCATTCATTAGTCTCTTTGAAGTTCCTGTTTGGGTTTGTTAAAAAGCGTTTTAATTATTCATCGGTTTGTAGCTTCTTGTAAATCGCAGCCACGTATGTTCAGTAATACCAAAACATTACCTACACGGCCGCGAGTTTATCTTGTTTTTATTCCTACGGTCAGTTACCCAAACATGTCCAGCTTTGACTATAAAACCGCTACTACACTTGAACTACTTACTCTCCGCCGAGTAAGGATTGAGTAAAGAAGAGGAGTAAGAAGATTAAGATTAAGATTGTTAGTGAAGACCAATGTAAATCAGACTCCTGGTATCTCATGGCTATAACTAAGGGAGCGAGTTGCTCGAACACACCCCCGACTCGCAAATCCCCATGAAAATCTTTTTTGCATTACAACTTAAAAACGCTCCCGTCAAATGCAAAATCTGGTTTTATTCTTTTCACTTTAGCATTCATAGAAGATTGTAGCAGGGGCACCCAACGAGAATATAGTTCAAAACCACTTAAACATAGCATTGTTAAACGTATTTTAGTATTAAAACGGTAGATATAGGCAAATTTTTATCCCTAAAAAAATTTTTCATCTGTTCGGATTTCCTAGCTGAGAGGCTAGTGATTCGAAAATTATAGGGATCAAAACTTACCTATTCGAAAATTTCAGCCAGAAAAAAAGGCTCCTGAAAATTGGAGGTGACCTTTTTAGGGTAAAAATCCGTTAAAAATGGGCAATTATACCATTTTTTAGATGTTCGAAAATCCTAGGAGAGGCAGACAAGCAAGAAATTTTGGAAAAAAATGCTCCGAAAATTTTAGATCTCAAATCGTCTTCCGAACAGATATTTTCCGAAAATTGTCGTTGGGTGCCCCTGTTGTAGTGAAAGTCAGTCCGGGTGCATGTCTGCCGTGTTTAAGACATTGATATATAAATTGACATTCTTTATTTAGACGTGCAGTTAAAAATTAAACGCAAGTTTAAAAAAAAAAAAGTTTTAATTAAATAATCAGTCAAAGGTCTCGACAGATCGGCCTTAGTATATTCAAGGCCGAGTTTAATAAAGTTTACTTACTTATGAGAAAGTGTCTAAGTGTTTTCTTTTCCACAGATGACGACGTCTTATTCGTTCAAATTGATTTGCTTTAGTTTCTCAGAAATACTGCTCATGCAATAGAATAATTACTAAAGGCTTGCTGCTCCAGTCTTACATCATAGCATAGCATCATTCCAACCCAGCCTGTTACACACACCCTCCCAACCCCAACCACTCAAATATGCCTGAAGACAATTAATAAGGAATGGTAACAGAAAGTACGTCAGGTACCATTGTGTAAACACTATTCCCCGTACTAACATCAAATGCAGTGGAGCCTTGAAGACACAGCCAACCTCTGTAATTAGTCTGGGCCCAGGCTCCGCATTGGGGGAAAGGGAGAGAAAAATCGGTTTTGGCAAAAAAAAAAAAAATAAATAAAAATCGGTGAGTGAAGCGCGCCAAGCGGTAGTCCTCCCCACCACTAAGCTTGCTTCGATAACACTGCTATTTGTCCTATTTCACCCCTTTTTTCTGCCTTTTTCCCCCATTACGGAGCCTACATGGTCCCACGCCACCAACCTCAATATACCGGTACTTTACAAAGTTCTCCAAAGTTATGAACACACTTTTATCAATCTATTTTAATTTGCTACGCACCTGCTAGATAAAAAAATTAGGACCAAAAAAGTGAATGTTATCTACACTATGTCTTCTTTTTAATAGAACTGGATTAGTTGAAGGATTGTCTGTAGATGCGAGTTTTCATCCTCAACCTCATTCAATGTCAGATTACAATGTGCTTCCAGTATTTTAAACATAACTTTTTTTTTATAATTTATGCCATTGAATTGTAAATAACTTTCATTTATATAAAATAATATTGTAATCACAACAATATTAGTACTTTTTACAGTGTAATTGTATTTGAAATATTAACATCATAAATGTAGTTATAAAAAGATGGTTAACCTCAAGTGAATCAACTAACCAAGCAGAGGGTGCTGTGAGTCACATCACTGAACCAGCTCCAAAGAGTCCTTAACAGTTAAGGCTACATCATCAGGTGATGGCTTGTTAGCCATCCATGACAGGTATGCATTCCAAAATATTGCTACAATTTGGACAAAGCCAACACGGTGCTGAATAGGAACAAACGTAAAATTCAGAGTCTGTGCAAGGGGCCAGATCTTATAATTTGTGATCAGTGTCTGTACTTAGCGTTCCTGGAACATCTCTTTAATTTCATGTGGTCGTTTTCCAGCAAGTGTCTCTGACACACTGAAAAAGAAGCATATCATAACAGGAGCAAAGAGACTCTGATCCAACAGCATCTTTTTAAAGCCGGCAGTTTTGGCAGTCCCAGGGACAATCCTTTCCAGTGTAAGATACCATGATCTTAGCACAGGGCCAATAACTAGTCCAACCACGCCCATACGAGCTGTTCTTCTGAAGTCATGATTTGTGCCTCTTCGCTCAGCAAATTGCTGGGTGATGACATCTCCAGCGGCGACAAGGACACCTAAGGCAAAAACAAGAAGTAATGAAGAGTTATACTGTCTTTGCAGCCCAGGGGAAAGCAATCCCGTATTTGGCCTTAATGGGTAACAGCACTGAACATGGTATGGGTTTGGGGGGTTGAGAGTCTTCAAACCGAGTACACAATTTTGCCATTAGCCTCTCAAACAGGGTGCTGCCCTGAACAGGCTGTAAAATGTGGGAGATTTCAATCAGTGTACATGTACATGTGTGTGTGAGGGGGGATTCAATAGCCTAAATATGGGTTGGAGAGTCTTGTCTAAAATAGAGTAGTGAAATGGACGGTTTTAAGGCCTTATGGAGGCACACAGGGTATATAAATGAGGCAGCAAGTGAGATTGGCAGCAACAGCTTAATCAACCCAGTCAATTTGCCACTTCCTCTGTACTTTTATACTTTACATAAACATATTAGATAATCACTCTTTTTCTTTCTTTCTTTTATGTTTAATTTACCCATGGTCTGAGTGTAACCTAGGGATGAGTATGAATTCTACCCTGGGACTGGGGGTTGGGAGGGGGGCGGGCAGTATAGGATCACTGATTTGGCGGGAATAGGGGGACTGTCCTCACATCACTGTAGCTCACATCCAGGAAGTGTGAATGAAATCCTTCCCCTTTAACTTCTGTGAACTCAGATCACACTCCCTCCCCCCTCGGTACATTCGCACCCTACATGAATGCGAGTTACAGTATTTATGGAATAATAGGGGACTGTGAAGTCTAATGGGAATTAACATCAGCAGGATGCAAAGAAAGTCAGTTATACAGCTTTTCGTTCGGGCATTAGCCCAAAGGTCATTTCAGCTAGCCCCAAACACTTTTTGATGAGGTAACTGCAATGATTTCACAGTTCTTAGACTGTAATTTTAATCCCTCAAAAAAACATCACTGTCCTGTACAGTGGGCAAGTTAAGAATGAAATCCACTAGCGCAATAGCAAAATCAATACTTGTAGAGTATGATTAAACCACAGTAAATTATAAGAAGGATACTGTAAAACCTAAGAATGAAATATTAGTTAATTACTATAAAAGCGTTCATATTTACAAAAAAATGTAGATAAGCATGAAATTGTTAACACTTTTTTCTATTGCTTGTCAGTCAAGCAATCAAAATAAATAAAAATACCAAAACAGTAAGTTGCAAAGAAATTTCATTTTTGGAGTAATGCCAGCCTGCACTTTTATCCTAGTTATTATCAATATTATACAAGTCAATCTTAATTTTAATAGGAGCAGAAAATGTAAAAAATATGGTGATATATTTCATGTGATTTTGGCCTGACAGATACAAAACCACACTAGCAGAGACAGTCTTTAGTTTAAAATGAGACATCCTTCGTAATATTCAAAAAACATTCTATGTTAACTCTGACATGAAGTAACTTGCCACTGTAAATAAAATAATTTGCATGTACAGTCAAGTTAGATTGTGTCAGCAATTATTGTTTAAATAAATATAATTCACGTTTTGTCAGATGCAAAATGTTGGGTATCCATGATGGAAAGTTTACAAACATCGTAACAAACATCGCTGGCTCTATCCACTGTTTGGGAAATATTTTCTGTGAACGTTACATGTATAAGTCGAAATGGCATAGCCACAGTTCTTAGCTAACTTCACTGTAGCCAAATGACTGACCCTTGTTTGTGCTTTATAAATTTATGTCATCAGCATTTCTTGTATAAATCAGTCTAGGTGGAGCAATAGGTTTCCTTTCTGTACATCAGGGTGCAAAGAAAGTCGGTTTAATTTATGGCTTGCCATTCAGGCATGCAAGTTGTTGCTAGTATGTACTAGCCCAAGAGTCTTTTAAGTAGCTCCTCAAAAAATTTAATGAGCAGCATTGATTACAGTTCTTCACTGTAATTTGAATTTCCCAAAAAACTGCACTTGCCCTGCTGGCAAGTTAAGAACACAAATCACTAGCCCAATTGCAAAATCCACTAGCCCTGGGCTACCAGACACATCTTTCTTTGCATACGGGTATATGTACATGTTCATCCTTCCTCAAGATGCTCAAACTAATAATGGATGGAAAACATTTAGCCAAAGATTCGTTTAGTGCCAATGATGTGGATGCTTGTTCAAATGTTTGAGTTACACTGTAGGAAGATAAATGTACGTTTACTTGTATACAGTTCCTCAGTTAATGCCCACTGTTTAAGATGCAATGACTTAGAATAAAGTCCACAAAAACTAACAACAAAATAAAAACAAAAGACAGTTATGCATGAATGTCCAGGTGAACATAGTCCTGAATGGGACCGTTGTTGTTGACAGTCCCTGACAAGCTGTAGTATTCATCTTCAGAGTCACTCAGAAGATGAATACTGCACAGGTTATTGAAACGTCAGTCACTGTCAACATTCAGGACTACTGAATTCTACCCTGGGACTGGGGGTTGGGAGGGGGGCGGGCAGTATAGGATCACTGATTTGGCGGGAATAGGGGGACTGTCCTCACATCACTGTAGCTCACATCCAGGAAGTGTGAATGAAATCCTTCCCCTTTAACTTCTGTGAACTCAGATCACACTCCCTCCCCCCTCGGTACATTCGCACCCTACATGAATGCGAGTTACAGTATTTATGGAATAATAGGGGACTGTGAAGTCTAATGGGAATTAACATCAGCAGGATGCAAAGAAAGTCAGTTATACAGCTTTTCGTTCGGGCATTAGCCCAAAGGTCATTTCAGCTAGCCCCAAACACTTTTTGATGAGGTAACTGCAATGATTTCACAGTTCTTAGACTGTAATTTTAATCCCTCAAAAAAACATCACTGTCCTGTACAGTGGGCAAGTTAAGAATGAAATCCACTAGCGCAATAGCAAAATCAATACTTGTAGAGTATGATTAAACCACAGTAAATTATAAGAAGGATACTGTAAAACCTAAGAATGAAATATTAGTTAATTACTATAAAAGCGTTCATATTTACAAAAAAATGTAGATAAGCATGAAATTGTTAACACTTTTTTCTATTGCTTGTCAGTCAAGCAATCAAAATAAATAAAAATACCAAAACAGTAAGTTGCAAAGAAATTTCATTTTTGGAGTAATGCCAGCCTGCACTTTTATCCTAGTTATTATCAATATTATACAAGTCAATCTTAATTTTAATAGGAGCAGAAAATGTAAAAAATATGGTGATATATTTCATGTGATTTTGGCCTGACAGATACAAAACCACACTAGCAGAGACAGTCTTTAGTTTAAAATGAGACATCCTTCGTAATATTCAAAAAACATTCTATGTTAACTCTGACATGAAGTAACTTGCCACTGTAAATAAAATAATTTGCATGTACAGTCAAGTTAGATTGTGTCAGCAATTATTGTTTAAATAAATATAATTCACGTTTTGTCAGATGCAAAATGTTGGGTATCCATGATGGAAAGTTTACAAACATCGTAACAAACATCGCTGGCTCTATCCACTGTTTGGGAAATATTTTCTGTGAACGTTACATGTATAAGTCGAAATGGCATAGCCACAGTTCTTAGCTAACTTCACTGTAGCCAAATGACTGACCCTTGTTTGTGCTTTATAAATTTATGTCATCAGCATTTCTTGTATAAATCAGTCTAGGTGGAGCAATAGGTTTCCTTTCTGTACATCAGGGTGCAAAGAAAGTCGGTTTAATTTATGGCTTGCCATTCAGGCATGCAAGTTGTTGCTAGTATGTACTAGCCCAAGAGTCTTTTAAGTAGCTCCTCAAAAAATTTAATGAGCAGCATTGATTACAGTTCTTCACTGTAATTTGAATTTCCCAAAAAACTGCACTTGCCCTGCTGGCAAGTTAAGAACACAAATCACTAGCCCAATTGCAAAATCCACTAGCCCTGGGCTACCAGACACATCTTTCTTTGCATACGGGTATATGTACATGTTCATCCTTCCTCAAGATGCTCAAACTAATAATGGATGGAAAACATTTAGCCAAAGATTCGTTTAGTGCCAATGATGTGGATGCTTGTTCAAATGTTTGAGTTACACTGTAGGAAGATAAATGTACGTTTACTTGTATACAGTTCCTCAGTTAATGCCCACTGTTTAAGATGCAATGACTTAGAATAAAGTCCACAAAAACTAACAACAAAATAAAAACAAAAGACAGTTATGCATGAATGTCCAGGTGAACATAGTCCTGAATGGGACCGTTGTTGTTGACAGTCCCTGACAAGCTGTAGTATTCATCTTCAGAGTCACTCAGAAGATGAATACTGCACAGGTTATTGAAACGTCAGTCACTGTCAACATTCAGGACTACGTTCACCCAGACAAACATACTCAGCCTACTTATGAAATGACTCCTGGGTTCAAATCTTTTGTAAAATAAGAGCAATATGTAGACAATAGACGTATTTTACAATCTGGTGGCCTATTAAATATGTATTTCTTTTATTAGTATGATAATAACCATTTCTGACCTTGTCAATTTTTTTGTGCAAAATACAAAAAAATTCTTACTTTGAAACGAGGTCAGAAAGTCTGAATTTATCACACACATAAAAAATATATATTAATAAGACCCCATTGTGAAAGAGGTATAAAGCTGGCCCATACATGTATACTAATCAGATGTGTCAGAGATATACATGCACACTCAGATGCAGAGGTACAAACTGCACACACGCATTTTTTGGACAGTTGTTTTGAGCTGCATGCACTGTACATATACATGTCTAGGTATCTAGTGCAACTGTGAAATTTGCATGAAGACAGTCTGTCGGCCAAGAGCATTATCCTCTGGATAATGTTGTTGTTGTTGTTACTCAAAAGTATAAACCATGAATGATGAGGCCTCAAGTATTTATGGGTATACATGTATGTTTATTAGCAAAGCAAATTCAAAGATCTTTTGACAAAAGTTTGCATTGTCACGAGATACTCGTGCGAATGCAAATACCTAAAGTACTTTCTTCAAGGCATGCTGTTGTTGTTGTTGTTTTTTGTCTTCCAAGAAAGCTTTTTAGGTCCTATATCTTATGATTTTCAAGTGTGCGTTTGTGATATACCTATGCTCTTTAGTTGTAGACATCTGTTATGTGTCCAGGACAGGTGAAGCTGTGAGCTTATTGCCACAAAATCTGGAAACCATTTGATGTTTTTTGGATGCGTTGTCACCAAAAGCTTCAATAAAGTAAACATTTCTAAAAAGAACTTGCAATGCTAATAAAGTTCTACCTATAAATCCATTAGGTCCCATCGTTCATTGTTTATACTTTTCAAGCAACAATGTTTTTTCAATCAGGCCCCAGTTGTTCAAAAGGTGGATAATTAATGCTATCCATTGGATAAATCTCTATCCACTGAATAGTGCAATTCATTTTCCTAACACTTATCCACTGGATAATGATTTATCCTGTGGATAGCGCTATCCATCTTTTGAACAACCGGGACCAGGTGTATACCAGAGCTGTTAACCCCCCACATCTTCAAATATTGAGACTTGATGAGATAAGGGATGATAAATGATGTCATAATGGCCACGGTACATGACATCATTTGTGAAAAAAACTGCACAAAAAAGATTTTGTTGGAATTGTAACATTTGACCTTATTGGCTTACTTCTTACCAACCACATTATTGCTTACATTTATATTACAATGGCATACCGGAGTTTGTGAGGAAATGTTTGATGTTAACAGTAAAATAGCTCAAACAAAGCTTTTGTATTTGAAAAAATTCCACTGTCAGAAAGTCGATTCTACAAGAAATGGAAAACCATGGCGATTATCCGTGGGATTTCAGACTCTAACCTAGAGACTGGGAGAAATGGTTCAAAATCTGTAGTCTCCCTGATTATCCGGGAGAGTTGACAGCCCTGTGTATACAGTCAAACCCCGTTTTTTGGACACCTGCTTAATAAAGACACCTCATTATTACAGACAGTTTGCTTTGTCCCTGGGGAAAGAAAGTCCTTAAGTTACCCTTAAGTTACATTTTCTCTGAATTCAACCCAGTTGATATGGACACCCCTCAATGCATGCGTTAACAGAGAAAATGTTTATAAATGTTAAAGTAGTGTGTACAACTGGCAGAGTAATGGATACAACTGATAGCATAGTGCATACAACCAACAGAAATAATGTTAAAATGAGAGTCTCTCTCTGGAACGCCAAATATCAATATTTAGGGGAGCAAGGGTGACGCAGTGGTGAGAGCGCTCGCCTCCCACCAGTGTGGCCCGGGTTCAAATCCCGGCGTCGACGCCATATGTGGGTTGAGTTTGTTGTTGGTTCTCCCCCTTGCTCCGAGAGGTTTTTCTCCGGGTACTCCGGTTTTCCCCTCTCCTCAAAAACCAACATTTCCAACTTCCAATTCGACCAGGAATCAGGTAGACGAAGAACCACTATGTGGATGTGCTACCTGCAAATCGTTATTTACTTATTATTTATTTATTTATTTATATCAAGAGGAGACGTATGAAAGACCAACAACAAATGATGCCAAATAACGGATGAGAAATAAATGACAAGAAGACAATGATATGAAACAAGTGACAAAAATAATTTTAAAACAAACAGTGCACCACTGTATGGTTTCATGCCCACAGTTTCGTTTGATTTAGGCCTTTTCTATTTTGCTATGTTTTCCATTTTGAGTGCATCGAAATCTAACAATACACAAACTGTCCGAACTGTGTCTCCAAACGTCCTCATGCAAATTAGAGGACATTGCAAGCTTCGTAATGCAGCTGAATAATGGCAAATCCGCAAATCCGCAAATCCGAAGCTCATTTGTCTTTCAAAACAATTCTAAGCCGCTACAACGCGATCGGTAAAAGGATTTAAGCTTATTTCACAGCAATTAAGCTTTGGATTTTTAGAAGACTTCACCTCACTCAAATGATTTGAGTGAGGTGATGTCTCCTCAAATCCATCATGAAAAAAAATTTAAAAACTGACTTTCCTTAATTACAATACCTGTTCCTATAGTTTGTGTTTTCCAAGGATGTGTTATAAGCAGTTGTTGATATTTCGCCCAAGCTCTTCTTAGAATACTCATTACGGCTTGCCTTTATATATCTCTATTTTTTTAGCGCTGATTGAGCGCTATGATCCGCTGGAGATCGCCGCCGCCATGTTTTTTTATTTCGGCAACCGAGCGGCCCTGGGAAGGAATTTGAATCGACTAGTTTTTTCGGTGGGCAGGAGCGGGGGGCGGGGGGCGGGGGGAGGGGAGGGGATCACTTGATTTTTAGGAGAACAGAAGGGGGCATCATTCGTAATTGGGAACCCAAAAAAGAAATCATTGCAGAAGAATTAGAAGAATTGAGAAGGACGACTCACATTAGACTAAGAGCAGTCTCTCTTTTTTTTCTGTAGTCCGTCGAGCAAAACGCGAGACACGCAAATGGCCACGCGCGTGACTGATAGCGCGAGACGGGAGAGGCACGTTTCGCGCGTCTCGTGGCTTCGCCGCTCCCGCGCGCGTGCATTGCTCTCACTAAATCTGAAGAAAAAGAGAGACTGCTCACAGTCTAGACTCACATTTGTTGGACAATGCCAGTTTGAAAGCATATAAAGTAAATGCGTCCATTCTACTGGGAGGTAAAAGTGTTTGCAGTCTCAATTTGTTCTAACCGCAACTTTATTTAGAAAGCACAAGTCTGTTACACTTTCGAAATAGTACATCTCAATTTATATGGAGAACTTTTTGTGGCACTTTAATATTTACTCTTTTATAACGTGCTTATACCTAAGCTAATATTTAACTAATTTGAACATAACAGGTGAATTCTGAATTGGAAACCATAACTTTATAGATAACTGAATCACATTTTGAAACAGCGTCGATCATCGCCCCTTTAGCAATGGGCACACTAACTCAGCTCTATACTTAATCCGATTCAACCGCCGCTCGTCTGTCTTATCTTGAGTGTTGTGAAAAAGGGAAGACGTTTGCCTGTAGAATATTAGGCTTTAATCACCAAATCTCTTACTAACACAAACATTGATATGGCGGCAAACTGTAACCACGAGGATTACAGGCTCATACAATAAAGTCAATTCACACCCTACATATACAACACAACGAATTATAATGTAACGCGATACGTCAAACAACTCTCGCAGTGTTCAAGTGTTTCTAGTTTCTAGCTTTAGTTAGCACGGTCATTTACACCACATTGAGTCTCATCATCCAGTATTTCTTTGTTTGTGTCTGGAGCCTTATCATCCGATTCATTTAGTCCGGCCTTACGGCAGGTTTACCTAGCCTACGTGACAGGCGTTCGAAAGGGAAGGGGAAGGGAATTAGGCCGCGAGACCCCTTCCCCTTCCCCTTTTAACGCCTGCCACGCAGGTTACGGTTCCAGGTTTTAAAATCATGGGTGGATTTAGGAGTGGGCACGCTTTCCCAGCTCTAAACACTAAATCCGCTTTAACCGTTCTGGTAGTCATACTCATCTTAGGATTTGAAGGTCTCTTCATTAGAGTTTATTGTATTGCCATAAAAAGTGTTACAAAGTCCTTATAGTTACAGCTTTCCACGAATACTGGACCACTCCCATCTTGACCCTCTTCGCACGCAAGTGGAAAAGTTTGATTCAGTTACGTTACCAAAAATTGTTAGATCATCAATTTATATTAATCCTCTGCTGAAATCCCAAACTTGACCACTTCCGGAATTCAAGTTTATTCATGCAGTTTGAACTATTTTCTTGCACTTGATCAAATAAATCTACAAATATCTTTTCAAAGCATTTGCTTTGTAGTATTTTATTCGTGCTTTGTTCACTATAAGAAAAATACAACAGGATGAAAACACTCGCAAATCTCTGAGCCAGAACTGAGTGGAAAATGTTCGTGAGACATTTTGTGAGTCGTGGTGGTATTGTTCTGTAAATGACATATTTTATTTGTTACAAAAATTGTATGTTACATTGGTTAATTTTTTGAATTTGAGTTAGAACATCAACACCTACTTTCTGATCTGGAATTACAAACAAGTGAAGATTTATGTGCCACAAATCTAAACCCGCCCATTAACAGAGCTAGATCCAGACAGCAAGGTTTTGTAGCAGGTTCTCCCTCCCTTAAACTATGGCGTACATTTGCGGACAAAAATAATTGAAAATAAAATACAATTTGAAGTTCAAAAATTAGACTATCCATGTCGAAATCTCGTCACAAGAATTTGAAATCGCAATGGAAGCAGTAGAAATAGCATCATTCGAACTTGAAGTTACTTTGAACAAGTTGAAACTATAAAGGGGAAACTCAACATCGCGGATGTTGAAGTTCAAATCACTATTCCAACTAAGATGCAAATTACATGATTTGAACTTCAATTCACCTTCTCCACTCTAATAAGCTTCTTAATCGTCAACAATGCAACCATTATCTTCCACAAAATTCCAAATGAAATCTTTAATTTGAACTTAACGTCACGTCACATATTTGAATTTGAAAAACCAAAATTTCAATTCGACGGGAAGCGGAAGTAAAAATACACAGGAACCGGAAATGATAAGAGTTTCGCTACACTGTACGTATTGGATGTTTGCATAACTGCATTTTGGCGCGAAAAGATTTCCCTTCACTCAAACTCTCTGGTCAATATGGCGGACAATGTGAATGATAAGGGTGACTCTAGGACAATCCAAGAGATTGTGAGGGCTGTCGTGGCAAACTTATAATTAAGAGTGGTTTTCTGTAAAATTCGAACTTCGGACTGACACGTTACCTGGTCGATTTGGCTAATTTTTGGCATGTAGTCTTAGAATGGTTTCCTAAATACTGAATGCATATTCTAAGGTTTGAATTCTCTTTGGTTTCAAAGATACAGGAATGACAGTTTTAACGAGACCTCGAGGGGCCGCCATGTTGGTGAACTGAAGGAGGTTTACTATAATTAATTCTAGCTTCATCATTAAAATAACGTAATCGTGACTCATACAGTTGCAAAGAATTACCCTTCCTCCTTTCATTTACCTTTTTTCTATCCGAAAATAGTGTAGCCTGAGCTACGAACGGCTATAACTTCGCACAGCACTTTTTCGGTACTGAAAAGGTACACAAATTTTGTAGAAATTGGAAGGCCAATATCACCCATGCCACATCGATTTAGAGTAAGCCGTTTTCACTAAACATAGTTTGTTTGTAGATAAGTTAGATTGTTGAATAAAATAATTGGGCAAATGTAACGGACCAGACCTACAGTTGCATGATTTGAACAGATAAAGCTAGAATTAACCATAGTAAACCTCCTTCAGTTCACCAACATGGCGGCCCCTCGAGGCCTCGTCAAAACTGTCATTCCTGTATCGTTGAGACCAAAGAGAATTCAAACCTTAGAATATGCATTAAGTATTTAGGAAACCATTCTAAGACTACATGCCAAAAATCAGCCAAATCGACCAGGTAACGTGTCAGGCCGAAGTTCGAATTTTACAGAAAACCACTCTTAAGTTTCCCACGACAGCCCTCACAATCTCTTGGATTGTCCTAGGAGTCACCCTTATCATTCACATTGTCCGCCATATTGACCAGAGAGTTTGAGTGAAGGGAAATCTTTTCGCGCCAAAATGCAGTTATGCAAACATCCCATACGGTACAGTGTAGCGAAACTCTTATCATTTCCGGTTCCTGCGTATTTTTACTTCCGCTTCCTTTCGAATTGAAATCTTGGTTTTTCGAATTCGAATATGTGACGTGACGTTAAGTTCAAATTAAAGATTTCATTTGGAATTTTGTGGAAGATAATTAAGAAGCTTATTAGAGTGGAGAAGCTGAATTGAAGTTCAAATCATGAATTTGCATTTTAGTTGGAATGGTGATTTGAACTTCAACATCCGCGATGTCGAGTTTTCCCTTTATAGTTTCAACTTGTTCAAAGTAACTTCAAGTCCGAATGATGCTATTTCGACTGCTTCCTTTGCGATTTCAAATTCATATGATGAGATTTCGAAATGGATAGTCTAATTTTTGAACTTCAAATTATATTTTATTTTCAATTATTTTTGTCCGCAAATGTACGCCATAGGCTACGAGTACAGTCGAAACTCCATGTGCGACCACCTCTCGTAAGCGATCACCTCCGATAAGCGACCGCCAATCCAAAACACCAAAATTTTGCCCGTCAAAGCCTTACACATTGAACGTCTAGTAAACGACCACCTCCTTTGGGCCTGACTGTTAATAATTTTCCATTATTTTTATACTCTTGTAAGCGACCACTTGACGCATTCTCTGATCCGTCTATTTTCGCTTTGTGCAATATATGTTACTTGGAATATACAGAGAACTTTAGTGAGAACATGGAACTACACATATCCTAACTTAGACATTCCATGCAATAAAGTAGATGTGCCTGGACCTCTTCTCGGAAGAGACCCTCCCCGGTTCAATTCTTGTAAACGACAAGGTCCACTAAGCGACCACTCAGTCTTTTCATTTTGGGTGGTCGCTTACTGGAGGTTCGACTGTAGTAACTTCTCATAGAAAAGTCATCTCATCCTGATTGTCGTCGTTATTTATTGCATAGGCTTTGCTTCCTTTTGCGGACTTTTCTAACCGACAGAGTTTTATTCAATCGACGATCCTAGACCACGCTTTTCGGACTCAGCTTTCAAACCAGCGTACTCAATGATGTGGCGCCCAAGAGCTTCAAGGGATGTGAAGGCTTACTGTCAATGGGTATTCGAATTCACTCTTTACCTCCAACTTATCCAACTCTACTTATCCAGAAGCAGCTCTAAGTCTCTGATTCACGCCTTTGTTGCTAGCAGAGTAGACTACTGTCTAGCCTGTTGTGTGGTTCGCCAAATTTAAAATATCAGCTATCTACATTGCAGCGTGTTCTGAATGCTAGTGCTCGCTTAATTTATTGCGCCCCAAAGTCGTGCCATATCACGCCTCTGCTTCTCGAGCTACATTAATTGGTTACCTGTTTGCTCCCTTATTGAATACAAAATATTACTCCTTAAAATTAAACGTTTGCACGATATGACACCTGATTATTTACGCCAGTTAATATTAGTTGAAAATCACGAATATCGCATAAAAAATTGTAAAGTTCACGTATCACGACAAGCAAACCACTCACAATTCACGGATTTTAATTTCGTATTTTCGCCTTTCACGAAATTAAAAGCACTTAATCCCGTATCACGCTATAACCCCTTTCAACCCCTCGACAAAGGAAGAACGATTCGAGAAAGAAAGAATCCCTCGATGTGCGTACACATTTTAAGCCTTATACTGAAACATTTCAGTGCACACACTTCAACAGCTGTCACCCAGCGAGCGTTAGTTTGTCAAAGGAGAAGCTCTCAAGCTTCTTAGGACAAACTCTTCAAAGCTTTGTTTGAGGAGAACGTTAGAAAATTCTAAACACGCCTTATCTCTACAGGCTGCCCGGAACAAAAGGTAGGAAGCTTTAAAAAGGCTTTGAAAGACACAATGGGCGCACAGCAGGAGTCGTGCTGGTCTGTCTAAACCCATTTTTAACATGAGAGTAAATGTTTACAACCGACCGAGTACGTAATGTGCACAAATGACAGAGTTTACACAGCCGACAGAGTAAATGTTTACAACTGACCAAGTAAGTAATTTTTTCAAGTAATGTACACAACTGACAGAGTAGTTTGTACAACTTTACAACCGTCAGAGTAGTGCGCACGACCGACAGAGTGAAATGTTTACAGAGAGTAGTAAATGTTTACAACTGACCGAGTAAGTAATGTACACAACTGACAGAGTAGTTTGTACAACTTTACAACCGTCAGAGTAGTGCATACGACCGACAGAGTGAAATGTTTACAGAGAGTAGTAAATGTTTACAACTGACCGAGTAAGTAATGTACACAACTGACAGAGTAGTTTGTACAACTTTACAACCGTCAGATGTCGTGTTTACATTTGAGCTTTTACCAAGGTAAAAATTTACTAAGGTCAAGTTACTTAACCTTGATACATTCGTCCCACGTTTACACTAGCTCAAATAACTCCAGTTGATCTACCTACACTCCCGCTATCTGCATTAACTACGTCATGAAATCAAACTGGCGGGAAATTCTAAAACCATGCTCGCTTCAAGAAGTAAAGTGGTGGCTTTCGTGGCCATTGGTTTTTATTTCTTAATTCAAGAGTCGCAAACAGAAACGTCTCGATTTGGTAAGATGTTGATGTTACAACACCTCAAGAGGTCGAGGCGAAAACGGATGGTTTTACTCCAAATTGCTTTAAAAAATACCAGACGAGCTAGACGGGCGTGGGCATGGCCGCGAAATCAGTTCTGGTTTGAGAGCCTTTTGCAAGGAGATTTCTTGGAAGATTGGTGGAAAGAAAAACTCAGGATATCAAGGCGTTCCAATCGTTCTCTGACTTCTCTGTTATCTGCCATGATAGAAATGCTTGGCCGAAAACGTGACAATCGCACGATCTGCTCACCGCGGGATGTGACATATTACACCACCACAAGCGGATATATCTGTCATCTTGACCTTGGTTACCAACTGTAGCCATGCCTGATCACAGGGTAATTACAACTTTTACCTTGGTCAAATTTCTTTTGTCTTTGGCGGCATTTACCAAAGTATCAGTTAGCGTTTACACACGAAAAATGTTTACCTAGGTAAGTAAACTCCCCTACCTCAGTAAATCGTTCAAGTCTAAACACAGCAAGAGTAGTACGCACAACTGACAGAGTGAAATGTTTACAGAGAGTAGTAAAAGTTTACAACTGACCGAGTAAGTAATGTACACAACTGACAGAGTAGTTTGTGCAACTTTACAACCGTCAGAGTAGTACGCATAACTGACAGAGTGAAATGTTTACAGAGAGTAGTAAAAGTTTACAACTGACCGAGTAAATAATGTACATAACTGACAGAGTAGTTTGTACAACTTTACAACTGTCAGAGTAGTGCGCACAACTGACAGAGTGAAATGTTTACAGAGAGTAGTAAATGTTTACAACTGACCGAGTAAATAATGTACATAACTGACAGAGTAGTTTGTACAACCGACAAAGTAAATGTTTACAAACGACAGATGGCGTTCAACCAGGTGACAGAGTGAATATTTGCAACTGACAGAGTAGTGCGTACAGATGACAGAGTAATATACCAATCGACAGAGTAAATGTTTACAAGACTTACAACCGACTGAGTAATGTACACAAGTGACAGACTTAAATTTCAACCGATAGTATTTCTCTAAACCCCACAAACAGCGCACCATACTTATTCGCTGACACTTCGCTTCGAAAGCAAGGAGCGCCGGAAGGTTACAAAATGCGGTCCAATCATTTTTTGATCCTTGTTCTCCTGTTTTCGTCGTTTTCGTTGTTTGTGCTCAAAGTTCATGGTGATTCGCCACATATTTTGCTGATAGTCTTGGACGATTTAGGATGGAGTGATGTTGGGTTTCATGGTTCAACAATCAACACTCCAAACATGGATAAACTTGCTTCTGAAGGCGTAATACTGGATAATTACTATGTACAACCAATTTGCTCTCCAACCAGAGGTGCTCTCCTTTCCGGAATGTACCCTATACATACAGGTAAAAATGCGTAGCGCAAATTTAGCATTACTGCCATTACTTGTACCGCTTTCTTAGCATAGCTTGTTGTTTGTTGAAGTGTCATCGCTGGGTACTCGCGATTTGTTCTAACAGTTCCTATGCCATCGTTGAACTCATTCCTCTGGTTTACGGATAATTCCTTTTCCGGGTAGGGGTAAAAAAACTTCAGTTCGGTCAGAGAAGAACTTGGTCAATACCAAGCCTTCTTGACCTAACGCTTGGTCATTAACTTTATAAAACTGTTTTAAAGCGAATATTTTGATTGATTGTAGGTTTACAGAGTGGAATTATACGCTCTACGGAGCCATATGGACTTCCACTTAACATCACCATCTTACCGCAGAAACTCAAAGAAGCAGGTAAGGACAAACTGACTTCAACAACCTTGTGCTCACTAGCTCCATTTACTCCCAAATGCTTGGCGTACTCAATCAATGAAAATCGATATCCAGACTGCGTTCAGTCTCTTATTTCTGTTTTTTAAAGTCGCAGTAGATGGACAGCACGAGTGAGAGGAAGAGCAGTTCTTTTTCCTCTCTCTACGCCCAAATCTCCCCTACTTTTAATCATTTGTAATTTGCCGGCCTTATTTTACTTTCTCGCTCGCCCTTGGCTCTAAGGAAAGAAGGACGACCACTCCCGATCTAATCGATATCAATCGTTTTGCAAGTTAATGGTTATTGAATTGAACTGAGTGAAGTGCAATTTGGTCTGTATCTGATCGGACGGACGCGCAGCGTGACTAAAAAAAAAAAATTAGCGGATGAGGTTTTTGTGATATCCGGAGTAATCAAGGTTATTCCTTGATTATTTAGGATATCACAAAAACCGAATCTAATAATAGTTTTATTATACATTGCTTCGAAGAAAAAACGAGAAACACACTGTCGCAAGGATGAATTGATATAATTGTTATTGGAATTAGTCAGCTATCTGCTAGCAGAAAACTAATTAATAATCTGTTGTTACATACGAATGACATGCGAATATAAGGGAAAAAATGTTTTGCGCTACCTTGCGCTAAATGGAATGATTCACTTAGTTTGCATTTGAGACATTATTAAAATTTGTTATAAATACATCTTTGCATGATTTTTTAAAGTTACATTTCTCAACATTGTTTAAAAAGATAGAAAAGGCATTCAAATGTTTCCGTATGTTACTCACTTGACAATCGTATGCATCCGTTATCCTGCGTTGCAGCCGGCCCACGCACTCGTCTAAACCATTTGTACAGTCAGTTTATAGTCTATATAGAAGGTTTAGAGGGTCTGCGACGCAGGCTAGCATCCGTATCTTGCCTGCATGTATCCCTATATAACCCGTAAGTTTCTCGTATGTATTCACTTAGTAAAAGCGAAGTTAAGCTGTTTCAGGGTGTAACAAATATCGACGAAATGGCTGATGCTTTTCCGACCCGGGACCATCTTTACGCATGAACACAGGCAATCACTGATTTTAACTGGTAACTTGGGAACAAATATACATTTGCCAATTAAATTTTAACAATTACCATTGAAGAGTGGGACCAAAGGATCCCATTTCTTGTTTGTAGGATTTTTTGTAGATACTTGTTTGTAGGATTCAATTTTATACACTTGTTTTTACATTTTTAGCTGAGGGGTCCTGTTGCAGGTTCTACAACCCGCCTAGATGTACTGTCTTTGGGCTCCACTAAAAACTATATTTCAAAAGCTTTAAAATGCACTCATTTTTATTTCAAAACAGGATATTCTACACATATGATAGGAAAGTGGCATCTGGGATTCTGTAGCTGGTCATACACTCCACTAAACCGTGGCTTCGATTCATTTTATGGCATATACCTTGGCGCTGGAAATCATTACACACACGAGACAGCCGGAATTCTTGATCTACATGATAACGAAACGCCTGTAGAAAATAAAGACGGAGTTTATTCTACGTATCTTTACGCTGAGGTTTGGAATAACAATAGATTCTTATTTATTCTTATTATTTTTTCGTTTAGCTATTTCACCTACCTGATCATACGGAGAAAAGAAATGTAGTACTTTTTACCGCAAAAAAATCTTCTGGATCTTGACTGTTGACTGTCATTTTTTTTGTGACAAATGTATGAGAGCTGCGGAAATGAAATCAAGTGAAGAATGGTCCTCGCAGTTGTGAACGCACTTTATGCAATTGCGTAAGAGAAGCCCGAAAAAAATTCACGACTTCAACGTGATTTGTACCCATGACCTGGCGATACCGGTGCGACGCTCTAACCAACTAAGCTATGAAGCTACTGATGTTGGGAACAGGTCATGTGTTCTGTATCGCGAGGTCACGGGTTCAAATCCCGTTGAAGTCCTGAATTTTTTTGAGGCTTCTCTTACGCAATTGCATAAATTGCGTTCACAACTGCCAGGATCATTCTTCACTTAACAAGATATTATTGTTGATTAGTCAGGAGAGGAAAACATTAAGGAACAGGACAGGAAACAGTTCCAATACATGAAAGTTAATAGATAGAATAATAGAATTTAATAGATATGAATACATATTTTATCGTGACCTGGTCCCAACACAGTAAAGTGGATGTCAATTTCGAGCCTTTTTTATTTGCAGCAAGCACAGAAGGTTATTGAATCCCACAATGCCTCGACACCATTGTTTTTATATCTACCATTTCAAAGCGTCCATAGTCCTCTGCAAGTTCCCACCGAGTACACGGAAAAGTACGAAAACATCACAGATGATGACAGAAAAATCTATGCAGGAATGGTTGAAAATGTTGATGAAGCAATAGGAAATATAACAGAGGCCATGAAGACAGCTGGGTTAGTAGATAATAAGTAGAGATCTAGACCTGTCAAATAAAAACATCCATTTATTTGACATCAAAATTACATTACGGCACCCATAAGAAGTTGAAGTACCCATTCGTAATAAGCCCTTAGGGGTACGGAAGCAGAGGTGATAAGTAAATTCCAGGGGGAGAAACAAAAGGAAATACGATATTAATCCCCGGGGGAACCCTTTACTTGTAATTCCGATAAGGGGTGTAAATCGCCAAATGTTGGTAGCCTGCGTAGCAGGCGTCGAAAGGGGTAGGGGGTAGGGGATAGGGGATAGGGAGGAAGGGAAAAAGGGGAGGGGATTGGGGAGAGGGGGAGGGGACGCCTGCTCTAAGAACCCCCTTTTGTTCATATCTGCGGACGCTGGCGTCCGCAAATTCCTGATTGGCTGAGCCGTAATGAGTAACATATTGAAATGCGCGTTTCACAAATCAACAAACAGTCGAGATGGCAGCGGTAGACGTGGATGTCGTAGAGAGTGCTTTGAGAGATGTGAATTTATCTAGTGGTAGAGAAACTGTTTTAAAACCAGAGCAAGAATCAGCAGTAAGGGCTCTTTTAGCCGACAGAGATGTTCTGGCGGTTTTGCGGACCGGATACGGCAAGAGTTTAATTTACCAAATGTTTGTACGCGCGAAGAACTACGAGCTAAATGGTAATGCGGCGATTCTCGTCATTTCGCCACTGAAAAGTATTATCGAAGACCAGTTGCAGGAGATGGAATTGTTGGGCTACCCAGCGAAAGATTTAGCCAATTTATCGAACGATGACATTCGCCGATGTAACTTAGCAATAAAAGAGGGTGGTTTTACCTCATGCCAAAATGCTGCTTATTCCAATAAAGTTGTTTTTATCTGGGGTAGATTATGTTCTGGAAGGTTCTGCATTTATACTAACAAAATGTTATTTTAGCCCCATGTTTCACACTGAGAGGTCATGACATACATATCGATTGACTGTAGTTATTGTTTTCTGGTCGGCAGGATTTGCCCTCTGATGCAAGCGCAATTTCTTTGACCTCTTTTGAAGCGTAAAGTTTTTTTTATTACGGCTGAATAAGGGTTCCAATTTTCTCCAAAGTGGCTTCTGGATCTGAATAACTAAGCGAATTTCTTTAGTCCGTGAGTGTAATGTTTTTCTCCAATGGCGAGTGTAGCGACACTTGATTGACAGTAAGCGTAATCGGATTACTAGAAAATTGGTAGGCGTTATGCAAAAACATAGGCTCTTAGAGCAGGCGCTCCCTTCCCTTTTCCCTTTCTCCCTCCCCCCTCCCCCTCCCCTTTTTGCGCCTGCCACGCAGGCTAAATGTTGGTCTCACTTTGGAAGTTTTTCATTAAAAGCAAATATTTTTTACCCTCACAGATACAACTTAGGTTTGTGCGGAACGAAATCGCCACATAAAAGTGATAAAGAAACTAACTGCAAAAACCGTGGACGAAGATCCCGCTGGTTGTAAACGTTGGATCTCTAGAAAAAAGATCTAATCAGCTAAAATATCCAAAAAACTAGAAGTCCAAAGACCACTACAAAGCTGATCATAACAACGTGTTTTGTTTTTTTCGTAACAATATTTCGGCTGGCCATACCAGCCTTCTTCAGGTTTACAGATGTTACTGAATTTATGATAGGAATTACAATACAGTGTATTCAGTATATAGATAGAAATGTCGCAATAACCATTGTTGAAAAGGGAGAGGTGGAAATGAAGTACAACATAGAAAGAAAAGAAAAACTAATAAGGATATGGATTACAATGATTCGTCACGGCAGTTTAGGCCGTTAGTTTCAAGAGTCATGGCCTTATCTATCCAATGTGACTCCCTCGCCTTACGGACCGAGTCACGTGAAGAATGAATTTTCCTAATGAGACTAACTGCATGTCAGTGTAAGAATGGTCAGAGTGAGAGAGAAGGTGTCGAGAAACATCAGTGGGTTTAGATTTAACGTTAGTTTTGTCGACTGGACGGCTGTGTTCGTTAAATTTGTCCTTGAGGCAAAAGTGACCAAACTGTGTTGAACTCCCATGAGGAGCCGCATAAAGTCCCTAAGTCCCTTAATTGACGGTTGCTATGCTCAATTTCCTGTTACAATTTTACCTTCGATCTCGTGCATGTTAGCAGGAGACAGACTTGCTGTCATCGATAGTGATTTTCACAGAGGCGATGAAACAATCTTAAATTTCGCAACCGTCTGTTAATATGGTTAAAACAGTAGTAGCCGGGGTAAATATAGTCGAGTGCGGTCTTTGCAACTATTCTTCGAATCAGATCATCCCGATCAAGCCATCATTGTATGGAGTATATGTGAACTGAATTCTTTTTCACCGTATCGCGGTCGAGAATTTCTGTGTTGATTCGAAATCCTTTCCCTTAGAAGCTGTTGGTATTTGAAAGAAAATTTTAACAGATCGGACAGGTTAGGAGAGTTCAAAGTGACATGGCCAGCCTTTCTTCGTCACATTGGTTCAAAAGCGAGGCCAATTCAGCCTTAGATCAGTAGGTTTACCTTGCGACACATTAATTCTAGTTTTTTTATGACTTGCTTAATCGTAAGACGCCTTGAAGGTAAGGACAGTGTTCGAATTTTTTCCTTTAGTTTATTTATTTCTGCCTCGAACATATCCGCGCTAAAACCTCCTAAATGCCCGCCAAATTTAATGTAGCGCGCTCGGGAGTGATCGAACAGTGTTTAGGGAGAAACAGGTCCAGCACACCTTCAACTGGAAAAAGTACCCTTATAAAGAAGTCGAAAAGCGTTATCAATTTTGTGCTACATTTTCTTGATAAACAATGGAATGTGTTGAAAATTATAGACATCCGTGTTTCATAATACAAGTACACACGTAGCGGCCAAATTGCTAGATATTTGATCTTTTTACAACTGTTTTGCTTGTTGCCTACGTTTAAATGCTACATCATGATCCAGTGCGATTTATACAGGGGAACCCAGCGAGGATATAGTTCAAAACCACTTAACAAAGCATTGTTGAACGTATTTTAGTATTCAAACGGTAGATATAGGCATATTTTTATCCCCTAAAAACTTTTCATCTGTTCGGATTTCCTAGCTGAAAGTCTAGTGATCCGAAAATTATAGGGATAAAAACTTACCTTCTCGAAAATTTCAGCCAGGAAAAGGCTCCCGAAACTTCTAGGTGGCCTTTTTTAGGGTCAAAATCCGTTAAAAATGGGTAATTATACCATTTTGTAGATGTTCGAAAATCCTAGCAGAGGCAGGCAAGCAAGAAATTTTACAACAAATACTCCGAAAATTCTAGATCTCAAATCGTCCTCCGAACAGATATTTTCCCGAAAATTGCCGTTGGGTGCCCCTGTTTATAGTTGTCGCTACATGCTCAGATCTTTGTTTGAATTGATGCGAAAATTATCTTATAGTCTATAAGAAATAATAGTTAAAATACTCGATCTTAGCGCAACAAGGCAGTAATTACTGCGTTTGCATTGTTGCATGCTTTCTCTACCTATGAAAATAATAGTTTTCCTAGTATATCAGATAGGCCAACTGACTCCCACTGGTAGCAAATTGTGCAGCAAAACCATAAATAAGGGCTATTCGAAGTATAACCCTCATGTAAAAACTTTTGATTTTGATCAACAATGAAATGAGCGACTAAAACGCGTTAAAAATAAGACACGCTCGTGTTTCCCATACCCCTACCGTCCTAAATGTACTTCACAGAGAGGGGGTTGAGTGTTGCTCGTTATTTGTAAGTCTCTGAATCTTAGCAGCTTTCTTTTTCTTTTCTATAATTTTTACAGGGGAATCGCAATGAATTTGAGTTGATTGGTTGCATCCATCGCAGTTTCCCCTATTTGTTTTTCAAAAAAACACCATTGTACGAACGGTCTCTATTATTTTTCACGAAAAGAGAGCTTTAATTCACCGAAAAACAGATTCATAAAATGTACATGGTTCAGGGTATTTTGTACGTGCTTTTTATGTTGGGTGTGTCGCCTGATTAAAAGCGAGCGATCGGGTGAGTCGCCTTCGCTTAGTGCAAGAAGACTTTGTAAAACTTGTACATTAAATGAATCTTTCTGTAAAGAACGAGACGGCTTAGCAAGCTTGAAAAATAGTTTTGGAAAACGTCTTGCCAAATATATTTTTCTTTTGTTTGGGGATTGGTAAAATTGTATTTCAACTAAACTCTGTAAAATTCGCAATTGAACTTATTCTTCGGATTCAAAACAATGACCAATGTTCTGTCTGCACGTGCTCTTTTTCGATCTTTTGGGTGAGTCGCAAACAAATATTTATCCCAAGTATTATACGAAACGTTACAAACAACAAAAATGAACTTTGAAAATCTGATATGCTATCAAGTTTCCAAAATCCACAATTGCAGTCCGTTAATATTCAAGAATATCCATTCTTAGCTCCTTTTGTGTTCGCCGGGTTAGTTGTACCTTTTTATGTGTCACTTAGATTATTCGTTTTGCTTTACTTTCTGTTTAGTTTATGGGACAACACTTTGTTGATTGTGACTACTGATAATGGCGGGGCACCTGATGATGGTGGTTACAACTGGCCTCTTCGTGGTGAAAAAGGGAGCCTCTGGGAGGGAGGGGTCAGAGGAGTGGCTTTTGTTCATGGAAATATGCTGCAGAGGACTGGAGTCACGTGCAATGAGCTTTTTCACGTGACTGACTGGTACCCAACCCTCCTCTATCTTGCAGGTTTGCCCCCATTGATTGTTACAAATACTTAGATCACGTCACTCCTTTAGATCACTGAAGTGCTCTGTAAGAGTTGTTAATTGTCCATTTTTAATTAGTAGAAAACCAAAACGCTATTAACCTTGCTTCTTGTTCCTTGTAAGGCATAGAAAAGGATTCTGACAGTTCAGCGCTGGATGGCTACAACATATGGTCCGCCATTTCTGAAGGAGCCGCATCAGAAAGAACAGAGATTCTTCACTATATTGACGGAGACACTGCGGCAATTCGTGTGGGCGACATGAAGCTGTTGTTAAACGTAACCAATAAAGACTGGTACAAACCGCCAGAGCTGTCCTCTGAAGCGAGGAAAACGAAAAAGGTATTAACAAGAGAGCATGATGGAACAGAGAGGGAAACGCCCAGTCTACTGAGCCCTTGGGACTGATGGGTATTTCACCAAAAATATTTTTAGACCAATTAAACGCTTGAAATTAATCGGAGGTTGGTTTTCAGAGAGGTCCGCAAACTTTTGATCTGTGGTTTTAAGAGAAAACTCAACAGCCACCACTAATAATTCTGCATTGTTTGAGGCAGTCACATTGCTATGGCACTCATTTTGCTATTTACTAGAATGGTATCTTCTAGGGGTGAAATTAAGCTAAAGGCCATGCTGGGTTTAATCCCAATTGCCCGAAGGGCCTCCCTGCCCGCTTTACAGGTCGGTCACCCCTTCCCCCCGCTTCCCCTCACGCAACTGGGTATTCCGTACGAGACCAATTGCGTTATCCACTGGATAGAGGTTTTTCCACTGCAAAGCATTGTCCATAATTAAATGAACTGTTGCCATCCACGAATTCTGAAGCATACAAGAAGTCACCAATGCCGTGCTGACGTGCTGATTAACTGTTATATCCACTTTCCTTCTTTTAATCCTACAAAATTAATTATAAACAAACTAACGAGCTGCGATTTGCTATTTAAAATCTTATCATCCAGTTTTAGTTAAATGTTTAGTTGTAACACGGCAAGACACATTGCTTCATATACATATTTTCTTTAGTCTTCTTACTGCCTTCCTTTGTTATCCGCAGAGATCTGGTGGCACAATTAGAGTTGCACTTTACAATATCACCGCTGACCCATATGAAAGTCAAGACCTCAAAAGCACGTACCCAGCTTTGGTAAGGACGTTAAGAAGGAGAGTCACATATTACAAGACGGGCGAGGTACCTTCTGGGAAAGTTGACGCTGATCCAAAAGCAAAGACACTGGCGCGCAAAAATGGGTATTGGGGCCCATGGATTGACTGAGATTTGAAATCTGAAAAAATGAAAGTATCTTCACGGATAAAATTTATTGCAGACAGGGATAAATTAGCTTAGGTGATTTTATGGACGTTTATCGACGTGCAAGATAGCAACAGCTTTTATTTCGATTCGTTCCCTGAAGTTCGTTATTTGACAGTTACTTGTTATTTTAGGAAGATAGTACTGATTTTCATTATGCTTTGTTTTCTCATGTTGCTGCAGATTGGTACGAATAAAGACTATTGCTGTTGACAAAAAGGTAAAATGAATTCGATAATAGGGTCACTCTCCTATCCGGGTCAACGTTTCCTCATATAAACAATTTGGCTCGCCCAACTGTTCGTCTAGGCAGAGCGTGAGCGAACGATGTTAGCTTAAGTAAAGGTGTCAACTTTTTCCTTACTTAAAAAAAAGAAACTGGGAAAAAATACTCCGCAGAGAGGGCGACTCTCTTTCCCGGATTAACGTTTTTTCGTATGAACAGTGTGTGAGGCTGATATCGGGAAACAGAATGGTCATAATACTCTATACAATGCAAAGCAAAGCAAAGTTGACCGGTGTATTACTGGAGGTAATATTTTTTTATTGTTTTCTGATAGTACCGTTCTTGGTATTAACCCTCGGACGTACATGCAAATTCATACCCCCACCGTGGTACAAGTAGGTGGGGTGGATGGACCCCCCACTAGAGTTTTTGATATGTTGCAGTGTTTCGAAACGATTTTACCTTCGGTGGAAAGCCTTTGATATTCTCTACAGGATGAGGTATATTTTATGGGTGGTGGCGCTGCTGGGGGGCCTGTGACGTCACCAAAAATGGCCGCCATCTTGGATTTTACCAAGAATTAGAAATCAGGTTAAAACCGCGAGAAATGGTGATTTTTTTTGTGCCTGGGAAGAAAAATAACACAAAATAAGCACTTTGAATAATTTTAGCCTCAAGATTTACTTTTATTGTTGAAAAAAAGTTGAAAAAACATGTACTTTCACTCGAAAATGGCTTGATCACCTCCTACTTATGACGTTATATCTCGTAACCATAATTAAACTCATCGCCAATAGATGAGCTTGGGAACTGATGCCTTAAAGGTTGAACGGGAGCCTGAACGCCTCAGAATCCGCAACGATTCGCTTAAGCAACAGATCCGCAAAGATCAGCTCAAAAATGCCAGCGTGAGGAGAGATGCAACGTAAGTCACAAGATAAGCAAAAGGCCCCTGCGGTCACCCCAAAGATCACGTACGCTTGAGGAGGAGACCGCTGACCGCATTGGCTTGCAATTTAACTTTGCCTAAATTACATTTAGCCACATAAACTGACCATCACTGAACTCGACTCAAAGTGAGCGCAAGGGATGAACGAACAGCTACTGAAAACACCAGGTGCTGATGTTTTGGCCTCTAGGAAAAAACTCAGAAAAACCTCGGAAGGGGGTGGCATCCACCCCCTTGTACGTCCGAGGGTTAATATTATATTTACTTTTTTAAATAAAAATAAAAACACCAGGAAAAAACAATGCTATAAAAGCCTGGCAAAAGGAGAACCTGAAAATAACGAAATCTCAACACTGGTATCATATACCTACACTTTGCAAGTTTTTCGATTCTCAACCCTTTATAACAGGCCTTGTTGCATAAAGAAATAATATAATTATTAAGACTAGAGGTTACAATCGTAATTATTGGGAGCCGGAGGAGGTTGATCCAACAATCGGTTGTATGGTCCTCTCTGTACATTAAATTAGACATGAACTACAAAAGGACCGCAAACGAATTTGCCGCAGAAAGTAGGATCTATAAGAAGACCTGATCAGCCAAATTCATACAAAGTACAGAAAAGTAGACACATTGAATTCCGCAAAGCTGATCGAATTACGTGAAAATAAACTTCGCAAGACATCAACACGACACCGAAAGAACCCTAAACAAAGCGGGGTTGTAGTCGTCGACAGCTGTTTTGCCATTATTGTGGCTTATCAGGACGGCGTAACAAACAGAAAATATCTGCTGAAAAATAATCCGCTCGCTCTGAATTAAGCTCTGACATTGAACTTCAACACCGACAGAATCATGCTATGTCGACTATGGCGCTTTTTGGGGTCAAAATTAAGTGATACATTTTACATGGCGAATTAAGTAACGCATGCATTTTACATGGCGAATTAAGTAACGCATGCATTTTACATGGCGAATTAAGTAACGCATGCATTTTACATGGCGAATTAAGTAACGCATGCATTTTACATGGCGAAATATACAAGGCTTGATACATCTGCACGACGTATGAAAGCTTGGCTGAGTAGCCGACATTTTACTTGGTTATGAAATAAAAGTTACCTTAAATATATTAGTATCGCATTTTAAATACACGAGAGTCGTATTTATTTTGAATTAATGACGAAGAATCCGATGAACTACCGTTTTTGAATCGGAGAAATACTACTGTCTGATGGAGGTGTCTAGTAAACTCAGGCCTGGAAAACTCAGACCTCAGACCACGGACCCCAAAATAACCAAGAGACATCAATCATAGGGTTAATATTCTATGTTTGTTGACCCTCGGACATGCACGCAAATTCATACCCCCACCGTATTACAAAGGAGGGGGGATTGATGGGACCCCTCCCCAGAGTTTTTGATGTGTGCCAGTATTTCGAAACGATTTTGCCTTAAGTGGAAAGCCTTTGTGTATTTTATAAGTGGTAGCGCTACTGGAGGCCAGTGAAGTCACCAATAACGTTCGCCATCTTGGCCATCATCTTAGATTTTACCAAGTATTAAAAACCAGGTTAAAACCCCAAGAAATGGTATGTTTTTGTGCTTGACAAATAAAATAACACATAAATAACCACTCTACATCACTTTATCCACAATCTTTACTGTTATTGTTGAGAGAAGTTGAAAGAACTTGCATTTTCACTCAATAAAAATGGCTTGACCATCTGCTACTTATGACATCATATCTCGTATCGATAGTAACTGACAATTACTAAACTTGTCTCAAAATGCGTTCGAGGGAAAATCGTTTATCGTCTAGGAAAAAACTAAAAACAACCTCAGAGGGATCGGAGGAAGCACCACCCCCCCGCCAACTTGTACGTCCGAAGGTTAAAACAAAATGCATTTGTCTCTTTGCGACCAGATGAAGAAATTTGTTTCACAATTTATGCCCATTAGGATAAGACCGGAAATAAACATGACGGCGTCTTAAAATAGCCAGCAAACGTCAGCAATACAAATGAGCTCATGCCTGCTGTGTTTTTCAGTTGGTTAAACATTTTTATCAATAAGCAATAAACTGGCGCCACCGTTCTGACAAACAGTTGTCTTAACAATTGTCCTTCTAATTGCTCTAATTTGGGATCTTGCTAAAAATGCATTGAAACATATCCTACACGTTGAACATTACCTTACCTATTACCTATTACCTATTTGCGTCATTAAGCAACATCGTTCAAGTATAAAACATCCTCATTGATCGTCAGAAGTTTATTCACCAAAAGTTGGTAATACAGCGGATCAAAACAGCTGAAAACTGAGGTACGTAAAGTATAAAACTTTTTACTATTATAAAAGATAGAGATGTTTTTTACTTACAATATTTCGTAGCCTTTTGATTATATATCTTTACACTTTGATCATGAACGACCTTATCGACACCACTGCGCCGTATGTGAACATATTTATCTGTTACGGTCAACAGTTAAAGTACCTTTTTGCTTCACTCTACCCCTTTCCCCAAAAAATGCTTAATGAAACTTACGAGTTGTAGATATGCTGGATTTATGAGTTGGATTATAAGTCTTTATTAAAGTCGCCGATGGGTTTTGTGTTAACGTTGGTGGTGGAAATTGCGAGTTGACTTCGTAAGACCAAATAACTCTGTGTACTGTAGTTAGTATTTTGTTTCTACTATAATGCCAAGGCAAGTCACTTTTCACCAGTGAATTAGCATTGTGAGTAGTTTGGTTTGAGTTGTCAGGGGCATCCAACGAGGATATAGTTCAAAACCACTTAACATAGCATTGTTGAACGTATTTTAGTATTTAAACGGTAGATATGGGCATATTTTATCCCCTAAAAACTTTTCATCTGTTCGGATTTCCTAGCTGAAAGTCTAGTGATCCGAAAATTATAGGGATCAAAACTTACCTTTTCGAAAATTTAGCCAGGAAAAGGCTCCCGAAAATTCTAGGTGGCCTTTTTTAGGGTAAATATCCGTTTAAAATGGGTAATTATACCATTTTGTAGATGTTCGAAAATCCTAGGAGAGGCAGGCAAGCAAGAAATTTTACAACAAATGTTCCGAAAATTCTAGTTCTCAAATCGTCTTCCGAACAGATATTTTCCCGAAAATTGCCGTTGGGTGCCCCTGAGTTGTTAAGTAAGCAAAGTCGCAACACGAATTGGAGTTTGCAGGTTGTGAGGTCACGTTTAAAAGCCTTCACTATATTTTTTTCACAATTTAAGTGTATTTTTCCCTACCATGAGGTCACTGAAAAGTACAAAGATGTACAAAGATGTGTGTTTAATGAAGTCAAATAGAACAGATATTCTTTATATACCATCGAACGATTGCTAGTACCTGATGTAAGAATACGATTATCCTTCGAGTAAGTAATACTTTATCGGACTTCTACAATGCAAACACCTTGCATTCGCGCAAACTGTTCTTCCCTGTATTAAAAAGGAAGAATTTCGTTCACATTTTCATAGGACTTTAAACGTTTGTTAGCGGCATAGCATTTTTTGAGACAAAAGGAATTTATTTTATCTTGCGGCTATTAAAAAGGAATAATGTGCACTTCATTCAATGGCATGAATGTTACTGAAAATAGCTAGAAAGTTACTTGAACAGGCCAAAACGTTTTTTACTCCATTCTTTCATCTAGTGTAGAATCCTAAACACCGACTTATATGTCGTCATATATCTTAGAAATTTTTTGCTCTTCAAAATATCCTTCATCATCGGTCAATTTCTTCTGTTTTTCGCATCTGAAGAAGAAAACAAGTCATAGAAAAAATTTTAGCGACGGAATGGAACGTTTTATTTTAGGGTTACAGTTTGATAAAACCGCTCCAAATGAATACAATTCCACTAAAATTGACAAAAAATTTGCTATCCACACTCACTCCACGCAAGCATGCGATCCGCTAAATATCAAACTACAGTCCTGCTAAAATTTCTAATAATAACTCGTATAATTTATACGAATGTTTTCAGAATCGTCCAATCAAAATCACTTCCGGTTTTTGGATTGTGACATCACTGAACAGTGTGAGCGCCCAGCTTTCAGACGACTCCCTCGGAAGTTTGCGACTGTATAAGTCTATATAACTCTTTATTAATATATCTGAGGCTTCTTACTGTTTTTTCATATGGATATACTTGGAAGTTTATAAGCCCTGAAGACAGACCCAAGGGTGTTGCTTCCAACCTCAGCGTTTATCGAGTGAGTGATTATCATATCCCCTCAATAAAATGTTTCTGTGACAGGGGTAATTATTACACAGTTTAACTTATCGTGAAAGCGAAGATCCCCATCTTTTTTCTACTGGATAAAAGAGTTACTGAGTTTTTAGATACTTTCGTCGAAACTCGAACTTCTAGATTTCTATTTGCCCCTAGATGTCCTTATATTTGAGTCTGAAGGATTTAAACAGTCCATTTATTTATCTTATAGACTATACGCAGCAGCTCCAAAGGGGGGAACTTGCTTAGGATTCCCTGCTTAATCTAAGTTTCCTAGGACTATTTTAAGTAATAACAGAAACTTGTCGTTACCACAGAAGGAATTAAAAATTACGAAAAAAAGAAAAACAAATTCATCTCTGTATCACTTCTTCCTTAAAATGACCATGACACATCAATCATAGGGTTAATAAACTATATTTGTAACTGAAAGCAAAATGCATTTGTCTCTTTGCGACCAGATGGCGGGATTTGTCAATTTAAACCCATTAGGTCAAGTCACCGGAAAATAAAAATGAAGCATTAATTACAAAACGATCGATGGCGTTTTCAAATGGCCAGCTAACGTCGGTAATAAAAATGACATCATGCCTGTCGTTTTCGGTCAAACATTTTTATTTGTCAGCCCGATAAGCTGGCACTTCAGGTGACAAAAAACTGTCTTTTTTGCGTTTCAATTTGATTTTTTGTGGGGAGAAGGGTCCTCCTGAAAATATATCGAAACATATCCTGCGTTAAATCTTGTTTGAGTTTTAATTGCTGGGCGTATTTGGATCTTCACAGGCAAACAACTCAGACAATTGAAGAAGCGAACAGCAGTCAGAACTCTTTTAGCCACCAAAAGTTAGGAGACGTACAACTGATCAGAAGAGCTGAAAATTTTGAGGTAAGAAAACAAAACTTTTTAATAACAAGATTGATATGGAGGTGAGAGGTGATTTTTCCTACATTATTTCTTAGTTATTTCAGTGAAGTTCTTACTACGATCATGACCAGCGTGAATGCAATATTTCTGTTTATTTCGGCATCACTTTCAGTGTATCTAAAATATTCATGTGTTATATACATGTTATAATATATTGTAAAGAGGGCGCGTCTGTTGCCCTCTCATCCATGAATCCCTCTCTTCTTCCATCCTTCCTCCCTTCCTTAGTTTCAGCGGTTGAAAGATCTATCCGTATCCAATCATTGTTTTATTATTTATTCAAAATAATTTCTAGTTTAAAAAGATAGCTAAAACATGCTTACCGTTACCTTAATCGATGTTAAGTTCCCGTCTTCAACTGCATATTTCTCGTCAAGTTCTGAAGATATTCAATCTACAAATAGCAGATGTCGTCTGAAAAGAAACATTTAACATTGTTTTTCATTTCAGTATTTCTTCATTTTGTATTTTTTATTAATTCAATAAAAGTCTTTTACTTTATGTTTCACGTCAATGCTTGAACAGCCTCTGTTTGTATTTTGACAGTCGTCGCGTACGAACTTGACTTCGTTTTACAGCGGTTAGCATGTTCATCGCTCACGCCACGCTGGTTCACAGAAGCACTTCGTTGTATCAATGACCTTGTCCATTCAGAAAAGAAAGTCCTATTTCTGCTTTACCGTATTGCATGGTTTTGATAATGATTTCAGCTAGAGTGATTGGATTGCGTTCACTGGAAAGTGATGTTTTTTACAATTCTTGACCGGCGGAAAAATGTAAAAATTTTCTCCATCAGCGACATTTGCTATATAAATAAAAAAGAACGAAAAATATCGGGTGTTGCATGGACACCGACTGATCATGGCGACAAGACGCAAGCTTAGCAGACTTTCCCTTCGCCTAACGAGAGACTTGTTTTTTTTATGAACACATACTCGGACCCATGTGTGTAGATAATTTGCAACTAGTATTTATGTTAACCTTGATGGCCATGAGTTTCTCTATTCTCTGGTCGGTTTCGACCGGTCCATTCTTCATTTATTTACTCTATTTGTTTATTTATCTATATTATAATTATTTTCTCCCCAAAACGACGATATATTTTATGTAATAAGAAATTCTATTTTTTTTATTGATAGAAATAGAATCAAACTTAAACAACTGAGCAAAATGCTACTCGGATCCTTCTCGGAAAAAAAAATACATTGTTTTGAAGGGGAAGAAGTTATTTTTTTTTTCAGTAAAAAATATCTTCAAAATTTTATGTGGTATTCACGACTTACAAAAATTCAAAAATAATAATGAAAAAAAACTTCTTGAAAGATATAGTGTAAAGAAGTATTTTTAAGACTGCAGCTTAATTGCCTGGCCTCTATTTTTCTATTTCTTTTTTTTGTACTAACTCCCGGTCTCCGCGGTCTCCCAGAAAGCTTGAACAGGCTTTTTAAAATTGACTTTGTTTGATCAAATAAACGTGATCTGCGAACGGACTATATAATTCCCTGGGACACTTCTTTATAATAATCTGTCTCCGTCTTCGGGGGAACTCCTCTATTGAAGTTACTGATAGGATCAAATAATTATGTAGATTAGTTGCATAGATAATTAACGATATTGTCTGCAAATAAGAGAGAGCTGATTTATCCCCGGTTTTTACCCTGAGCAGGGTAATGGATATGGGAAATAGGATAAGGGATTTAAGGAATTATGCATCGTGGCACCACCGGCATTTTCCAGTAAGCTTTGAAAGATTGGACTAGCATAATTTTGGCACAATTAGTCACTACGAGCATAATTTTCATCTATTTTTCAAAGAAAAAGCACTGCTAGCATAATTTGCACTTTTTGGTATAATTTTTCAGTACAAAAATTGTCATTTATAGAACATGCAACCAATGTTTTTGGTCAGAGATCTGTGTTACAGGCAAATCTAAGTAACGAATTCATTTATTTGTCTGTGGTTACCTGGGGTAGCGTCCGCGTGTTGGTTGTTTATTGTTTGAGTTTTTATGCTTGTCAGACAATGAATTTAGGACTCTTAACGTTTCTTGATGTAAACAGGGTAAATGAGTTTGCCATTTACTTGTAAATGAAGCATTGCGGTGTTTTTTTTACCAAATTTAAAGTAAAAAGTGAGAAGCATAATTTCGGCCTTTTTTTTTTTTTTTTTTTTACTGAAAAGAGCTTAATTTACAAAAACTAGCAGAATTATTGGCATAATTATACGAGCACTGCAAGTAGCATATCATGCTACTTTTCCGAGGACAATCTATCAAAGCCTATTTCCCAGGGGCACACCCCTTCCTCCCCCCCGCTTACTCGTGGTTATTAAAATTTGCGTGCATAATTCTTCAACACTCGCGAAATAAATTCAGTGACATGCTATGAACCATGATTATTTTGTTTTCAACAGATTGGAAGATGGCAGGCATGAAACTATTCATTATTTTCGTTATCATGTTCCCAGTCGCGATGATAACAGAGGAAGATGTAAATCATGGAGGTAATAACTACGACAAAAATTTAATTGCGCACCTGCAGATTGTCACCATTTTATTTCAACATCCGGTCTCTGCTTCATGTACAGAAAGCCGCTTAACATTTTTATTTTTACACTTTCCCTAAAACATCATTCCGAGCATTTATTCACCATAATTTTTACATCGTCTATAAAATTTGCATGAGAATTATTTTCAATTTTTCCTGTGAGTAAGCGGTCGTCATAGGAGAAATTAAAGACAATTTACGTATGCACGATTCTTGGGGGTAAACAAGGTGTTTTACAGGCGATGTAAAAATTGTGAATATGTCTAACAACTTCATTGTTTTATTATTATTTTTTTAATTTAACACTTCAAAAATTTGCGATCAACATTTCGCAAAATCTCTTACTAACAGAGTCATTTCATGTATTGCCTTGCTCTATTTTTTTCTTACTTCATGGATTTGAAATAAATTTGTATTTGAGAAGACCTTGCTCTACAATCTCCTCTTTAAATCGGACAACCGCATGGTGTTAGCCCCTGTCATTGTCCAGTCATTTGACTTTAACTGTGCTCTCTATAAGGCGGAAACCTCTCCAAGAAGGGCAACGGACACTTTCAAAACCGTCAACGGTCCCTTTGAGAAGTGCTTTAGGTAGTGAAAAATACCGCAAAACGGAAATGTAGGTGCACTACATGACAAGTAATTGCAATTAGGATAAGCAAATTACATTCCATTCCAAATACTGTACGCGTCTTCCGAGTTACAGCTCGTGTCTTCTAAACTCCTCATGGAGAACCTCTTAACCTGTGAAACAGCTATCTTCTCCGTCTTTTAGCTGAACTCTTTGAGCCTAATGGGAACTTCAAATGGTGATATCAAAATCAAACCATTATAACGAATCAATTTTCATATGCTTAAGTACTTACAGTGATGTACACTAGAACCCCGGCAACTCGAACTCTGAGGGGAAAAGAAAAACAGTTCGAGTTAGCGAGTTATCAGAGTCGATTGAAAAATTTAATTTATCATGTTGCAGTTATTTTTTGGCCAAGGGAAAGGAATTTTAGTTCGAGTTGGAGAGGAATTCTAGTTTTCCGAGATCGAGTTGACTGAGTGAAAATAACTAGAAAGTGGGGTGAAATCCAAGGGAAATTGGACTTAGTTTGAGTTAGTGATCGAGGAGTTCGAGTTATCCGAGTTCGAGTTATCGGGGTTCTACTTTATCACTATTTGTTTTGCTTCAGTATAAACTGTTGTTAAAAGAAGCAAATACTAAATTTTGTATTACTTTGTAGCCTTGTTACGATTCCACCTTTCCACTACATTGATTCGGTTTTTTTATTGTTTTGCACAACTAAAATATATGTGGACTGTATTTATTGCGAATAAGTTTAGCTTTATTTTCTTGTAATTACTGGCGCCATCTTACTTTGACTCTCTATTACCGGGACACCTCTCTTTAATAGACGGGGAGTAATTATTATTATTATTATTATTATTATTATTATTATTATTATTATTATTGCCATTATTTTTTTATAATAATAATAATTTTATTAAACTCTTCTCAAATTGAAAATTAAATACAAATTCAGTATAATTCAGTATTATTGTCATTATTGCTTTATCGTCATTTTTCTATTATTGTTTTTATCTATTATTATAATGTAATAATTTATTTCAATTGTTATATTAATTTATTATTGTTTTGCACGATTGATAAAATATCGTTAACTTACAAATTTAAATTTACGGTTCATATGTGTTGCTGGTTTGCAGTTTGTCCTTTTCCAATGAAAAAAGAGGAAGAGGAGTTTATTAAAGAGCGGGAAAGGAACAGAGAGTTAATGGAAGAAATCGCCAGAGAAATTGAAATGACCTGCCTAGGTAAGTTAAAAAAAGAAAAAAAAAACAGTAATAATAAAAACCTTGGATAAGCAAGTACTTTCGCGCGAATCGCATGCCCTTTTGAAAAGTTGAACCCTTTGAGGCAGTTGGGAGTGTTCCATATGGAACAATGTAGAGTTTGCATTTCTAAAGCCACTTTGACTTACCCTTTTAGTTTAAGCCATTTAGTTGGTAAGCAGCGAATGCAGCAAGTTATACATACATACATACACTGTATGTCTACAGGTAGTCATTTCGACTCCTGAAGGAGGATCATAAGGTTACACGATAGATATCTCTCGTTACAGATAACCCACAAAGCCCAGGGGAGGTTGGGCACACCACGGGGTCAACGTTCCTTACTCTTACTCGCACCAGATAAGTGAAAGTGCTGTGAGATGGGACCAACGGGTTTTCCTCCTTATATCTTGGAAGTCTCAAGAAAGTCTAACCGTTTGCAGATGTCATTACAAAGGCAGCACTTGCTTCTCAGTAATTTAAAGAGCCTGAGTGTTTTTGCGGTCTGGATTTGAGCCCGCCACCTCCAGCTCAGCAGGCCAGCGCTCTCCCGGCTGAGCTAACCAGACGGCGGAGGTTAATAAGAACTTGGCACACTGCTACCTTATTATGGAAATCTTGACTTATCCTGTCAGAGTTATAAACAAACATTTTGGGCAAAAATCCACTGCCAATTTCGCTATTTGTCTACTGCTCTTTTCAATTTGATTTCCCCCTATTCCGGAAAGCTAACTACAAGGCACAATTCCATGGATTAAAAGGCTATAAGTTGGACTAGATAATAAAGGAATGAAAAAGAGCAAGCAAGAAACCTCCAGAGAACATTTATGCCAGTTTTAGTCTTTTCTCAAACGCACAAAATTTTCGGACTTGGAACAAGTGATGGTAAACATTTTTGACAAATGATTTCTAGTCCATGAGCCTTTTTGTGAGGAGTGGGTAAAAATGCAATGTAGTAGTAACTGTGACAAATGTATATCAAATAAATCATATTGGAGAACTGCGGAAATGAATGCAAATGAAGAATGATCCTCTCAGTTTTGAACGCAATTTATTTATGCAGTTACGTAAGATGCCTGAAAAAAATTCAGGACTTTAACGGCATTTGAACCTGTGACCTCGCGATGCCGGTGCGACGCTCTCAGGTGGTCAAGCCATTTTTGAGTGAAAACGCATGTATTTTCAACTTTTTGCGATTTTAACCTGATTTCTAATTCTTGGTAAAATCCACCCAAGACGGCGTCCTAGATGGCGTTCAGTGTTGGTGACGTCACAGGCCTCCAGCAGCGCCACCACCCATAAATTATACTTCATCTTGTAGAGAAGATCAGGGGCTTTCCACTAAAGGCAAAATGGTTTCGAAATACTGCAACATATCAGAAACTCTGAGGAGGGGTTCCATCAACCCCCTCCCCTTGTACCACGGTGGGGGTATGAATTTGCGTGTACGTCCGATTGTTAATGAATCCGAATCAGCATTTCATGGATTTCCCGTAATACCGTTCTATTAGGAAATGCGAAAAAAGATTTGTAAAAATGTTTGCGTGCAAGACGACTGTTCTTGAGAACAGCTTTTCAATAAAAGCAGAACTTAGCTGTGAAACAAAAACTTGCCGACTAGTAACAGCGGAGCTCAGACTAAACGTTAGCGTAAACGAAAAAGAGCCAATACCGCTTTTAGCACGACAAATTTGTGACTACGGCAGAAAAGAAGAGGACGGCAAAACGCTTGTATGCGACAAACGTGACAGGTCTATTACTCACGTGTTTTGTGGTGATCTTCACTTAAGTTAATGTTTTCTGGTCTTTTGCAAAAAGACCTGTTTAAAGGAAGGGGAAGTTCGGCGGAAAACTTTTTCGAACAAAATTATTTTCACGCTTGTTGCAAAACGTTTTCCTTCTTCTTTCCTCTCCCGTACTGTTGCGTAAGTTCACTCTTAGTGAACTTAATTACACAACCGGACGGGAGAGGAAAGAAGAAGGCAAACCTTGTGTAACAAGCGTGAAAATAATTTTGCTTGAAACAACTTTTCGCCAAACTTCACTCTCCTTTAAACGGATTTTTTTCGTAAAGACAGTAAACGTTAATATTAGGTGAATATCACGACAAAACACGTACGTAATAGTCCTGTCACTTTTGTCACGCACAAGCGTTTTGACGTCCTCTTCTTCCTGCCATCCTGTTACGTAAACTCACAATTATCCCGCGCTGGCGTCAGTCCAAAAGCACGCGAAATACTAAGACCAGAAGTTCAATTTCACTTGCATAGCAACCACGTAGCCTAGCAACACGATACGACAAGGGGCCCTAAGGCATGCAACGTTTCTTGATTGGAGTATTGAGACCAACGTTTTGTCAGTAGGATTCTTGTTGAAAGCACGTCAACAGATATATATATTTTTCATAGTTTATAATAATTTGAACCAGGAGATCATGATCTCAGTTGTTTGAGCTTAAACATTGTTGCAAATATAAATAATCAAAACAACTGTTAAGCTAGCTTAAAGTGTGAAAACTAACTTTATAGGTAAAGGAAGAAAGAAATTCTTATAAGTAACTTCTACTTGCTGATTTGTAGACGAGTGTGAAACAGGACTACATAACTGCCACGATGATGCATACTGCACCAACACCAAGCGTTCCTTCACGTGTACTTGCAAACCAGGATATTCTGGGGATGGTGTCAACTGTGCAGGTAACAAAGCTACATACGCAGCGTGAACTTACAGGATCTAAACTTTAGTTGTACGCCATCGCAGCAGAAATAAGAAATAAGCCAATAAGAAAGCTGCAAACTGGTTTCGTATTTATCTAAGTGACATTGCTATAAGTAGCATGGAACAAAATAAACAAAATAAGTACTCCTTGCCACTGAATTTGTTTTGGAAAAATTAATTCATGCGTAGACCATTTCAGGGTTACGGTTCGAATGCATTGCACTACTATCTCTCATTCGATAGGAATAAAAATCGAACTTGGTCAGTCTGATAATTTACCCTTATTTATTTCCAGACGTTGACGAGTGTAATACAAAAAAACACCAATGTGATGAAGCTATTTCATTGTGCGTTAACACTAAAGGATCCTTCGAGTGTTACTGTCAAAAAGGGTATTTTAAAAGTGGACAACATAAATGCACAGGTAACATCCACTTTAAGATTTCTTAATTGAAACATTCAGATGCTTCGTAGCCACGTCTTTTGTTTATGTTAAGTTAGCGTCCTTACAATTATCTATTTTAAGTTTTTTTGGCGCTTTAAGTTAAAACGGGTTTTCTTTGAGCGACGCACGCCAACTGGAAGTAAATCCTTATCCCTTTTAATATACATAAAAACTACCAAATCTGTACTGCCTACCTCTTTTCAGTAAACAAACAAACAGGAAGGGAGGAATGCGACCCTCCTAGAAAGGCCTGTGTGGGAGGCTAATTTTTTAAATTAAGTACCAGATGTTACCTGGAACTAGCAATGACTCTAGCCTGCTTAGCAGGGGCTTGAACCTAATCCAGAAAATAGCTAGTATGGGCGAAAGGAAGGTCGGAGCGCGCGAGGGAGACAAGCAGGAAGGGAGGTAGCGCCTGCCTGAGAGGTCAATGAAAATCGTACCGAAAAAAAACAAAACAACAACAACACAAAACAACCTTTTTTGCATTATGATTTCCTCTGATTTCCTCTTTTGAAAGTCGTTTTCACCAAAGTCCAATTAATTTTAAGTCGCGTCAGTTTCCAACAACGTAATTTCATAAAGCGTTAATTTCCTGTAATAAGGCACATAACTGTTATTATGGTAGACCAAAGTTACTTGCAATAAAAGAAAAGAACACTAAATCAGTTTTTTTTATTCAGTGCCTGAATTTTGAATTGCAGATGAAAATGAGTGTGAAACAGGAAAGCACAACTGTCATGCAAACGCTAATTGCAAAAACACTAAAGGATCCTTTGAGTGCACCTGCAAGCTAGGGTATTCTGGGAATGGAGTTAACTGCACAGGTGAAAACAATACTTCGGTCTTCTTTATAATGAATCTTTTTTCTAATCAACTCCATTTATCTCGCCTTAAAGCCAAGATCAGCCACAAGGTAGTATACAGCTTAGTCTCTGGTAGTGCAGTTTGTTCTTTTAAGCTGAATAAGTATGGAAATGCTCTTGCATTATAAAAGTTTGTGATTTGCAGTATCTGTATGCAATTTTAGCCTTATACATCCTTGAGATATTGAAGTTTTTTATGTATTATTATATTGTGCCCATGCAAGATTGTCATGTCCGCACACGCATTCACGCTGGGTGAGCTTACTACATTTAATTATATCAGACCAGTGTACACAATTCCGTATTTAGAGTATGAGCGGAAACGTGTCCTTTTTATCCCTCCTTCTGTTGGCAATTTTTCTTTAGAGAGGAAGTCATTCTGTATTCTCTAATATCTTGCTTCCTTAGGTCTCGCGAATCCCCTATCTATACACTTGATGTCATTTCTGAATTTCTCACCTGCTCAATATATAGCAAAAATGTTTTTGCTTTTCAGTATAGACAGAAATCTCTCTCTCCCTCTCTCTTCTTATCGTAACCAATCCTAGGGAATAAAAGGTTAAGTAAATCAGTTTTGATGATTTAGTCCTGCATCTGATTTGCAGACGTAAACGAGTGTATAACAGGAGAGCACAACTGTGACGCTAATGCAGTCTGCAATAACACTGAAGGATCTTTCGAGTGTACTTGCAAGCCAGGGTATTCGGGGAACGGAGTTAACTGTACAGGTGATTATCAACTTCAACTTCAACTTTATTCATTCACTTTCAATTTACAATCACACGATAGCTTCCACCCGCGTATAGGAGAGCCTAATCGAGGCGGGGGAAGAGACACACAAATTTAAAGAAAGAAAAGAAGAAAAGAACTATTTTACAAACAGTACCAGCTGTCGCAAAATAAAAACTATAGTATGTATTAAGCTAATTTAATTCCAATTTGATTTACACAGAGAATATAAATTTAGTTGTGTTCCTGAGCTAGTTAAATTTAAGTTGATGCATGATTTCAGTGATTTCAAGATAGTCATCAGATTTAGATAACATTTCAAAGAGCTTATTCCTTATCTTTTTCCGAAAGGTAGATTTTGGTAAGTTTCTCATATCTGAGGGTAAAGAATTCCAGATTTTTGGTCCAACTCTTAGAAGAACTACGCATTTTTTCAAGCCTTGAGTGTTCGGTATAGAAATCATCATTGAGAGAAGATCGGGTAGGATATGAGTGCACCTCAGAAATCGTAGTAAAGGCTCTCTTGATATTTTCGGGTGCAGAATTGTTAGATTATATTTCAGTAAAGACGTGGATCGTCTTAATGTTAAGGCTATTAATTCAGTATTATTTTGTCTCGAGTTCACGCGTTTGAGTCGCTGAGTAGAATCCAAAAGTGGCATTTCCAATTGTACAAATAAGAGTTTTAAGTCAAGCCTTTGATCGACAAAGTGATCGTTATCATAATTATTTAGCAGTTACTGAATGAGGCTGAGTAGGCTGCATGTGAAGAATTATGTAGAGCGAAGAGGATGTTATCCTCAATCTTGCGGTGACTTAATCCAGCTTGATCGAAGTTTAGTACATCTGATCAATCCACTGAAGGTGTTACTTCTCCCAGTAAAGATAGATCATAGACAATAAAATAATCAAATCATAACCGGCTGAAAGCTGAATTGTTTAATTATTTACAATACAATAAAAAGTATAAAATAATGGCAAAAGACTAATTACAATTTTGTTAATTAAGAATAATGATAATGAAGAACTGAAAAAGAAAGGAAAAATAACGTAATAACACTTAATCTTACATTATAATAAGATGTTTGGACGACCGCACATGGCTGGTTTGAACGAATTTTTGCTGCAGTTTGTGCGAAAGTGGGGCAAGTCGTAAACACTCTCATGCCTGGTATTGTAGTAGCTTTGGTGGTTCGGAGAAAGCAGGCAAGCGAATTTGTGCTGATCCGATGATATACTATTAAACAGCTAAATACACTGATCGTTACGCCTATCATATATAGTGCTGAGACCAAAACTGACTAAACAGTGTTTGTATGATTTATCAGGCGCTATTATGGAGAGCGCTCTTTTTTGTACACGCTCACTTAGACAGTCGGGTAGGCTATGGTGGAAAATGGGCGAGCAATATTCTAGAACGGGTCTCACTGCTGTACAGTGGAAGTCAACAATATCTTTAAAGCTCAAGTTGAACCAAGAAAAAAATAGAAACGCTTATTTGCTTTCCTAATAGTTTCATTTAGTATTGACCAAATCAGTGGATAGCAATTTTCGCGCGTTCTGATTGGCGATTGGTGATTTTTATCCAACTGATTTGGTAAGTACTAAAACAACCTATCCCCCTCATGGTCGGTTCATAGCGCTCGGTATATTCCACCTGACTATTCTGATCACCTCCCCTTCGGGGGATAGTTGTATATTATATAAACATTCCACTTAAGATCGTTAATAATAATAATAATAATAATTATAATAATAATAATAATAATAGGGACAGTACTTTCCTTAGTATCTTTGCTGTCCCCAACAATGCTGTTTGCTGGATAACGTTCACGCCGACTCGCTTCAACTTTAAGGAGTACATGAAAAGAATCGGCGTGAACGTGAAGTTGGAAGTTATCCAGAAAACGGCATTGCTGGGGACAGCAGAGACACTAAGGAAAGTACTGTCCCTGTAAGAAGAAGGAAAAGAGAACCCTGGGACCCGTGGTGACTAATATAGCAATAATAATAATAATAATAATAATAATAATAATAATAACAATAATAATAATAATGATAATAATAATAATAATGGAAACTTTATTTGTGTTTTTGAATGTACAATTGTAAATCTCGCTACGTATAGGTAATTTAAAAATGCTGCTTGAAATTGGATTATTAAAAAGAAAAACAAAAACAAAGCAAAAACAAACAAAAACAAAACAAAACAAAAGTATGTTGCTCTAATGGCTATATTTATCATTTTCTTGATTATATAACGTTGCTGCTTTTTGTCAATGCCAATGTCATTCATCATGTCTAAGAACGTGGAGCATTCATCGGAGAAAACGCCAAGGGAACTCATGGAGAGATTTACAAATCTCACACATCTGTAATTTCTGCTCATTTCGTTGATCAAGTTCAGATATTTTTCTTTCTTACGCGCTGCATTGTTGTTAAAGTTAGATGCGAAACCAACTGTTAATTCTAGAACATATAGGCACTTGGACTGGATTAGGAAAAGAAGATCTGGACGATAATTATCACCAGTTATTATTGAGGGATTCAGAAAACCATTAACATCTGCATAGCGTGAAGAGTGAACATTAATTACAGGTTGAAGTGACTTGGCAATGAAGTTAAGGATTGAGTCGTGTCTCCAGGTAAAGCGATCAAGGTACTGTTGACAACCAGCGACAACATGAAGGAGTGATTCAGGATTAAGGCAAAAGGAGCAATGAGGACTTTGTGAGAATCCCCTTCTTGCCATATTCTTACGTGTAGGGAGGGAGTTGTTGATGAAGTGGATGGTAAAATTGTAAATGTTCTTGGGTAGATGAGAATGGGCCTCTGACCAAATAGAATTTACAGATGCAATGAGTACTTGATAACATTTGAGAAGAAGAAACCTTGAGATGTTAGGTGGTGTTGCAGTTTATCCTCTTGATTAAGAACTTCCTTAGTGGATTTGTACACATCATATTGAATATTAGTGCGACAGCTTGACGATTTCCAGAGATCTTTTAAGGAATCATTTGGTGACTCTTTTAATGAATCTCGGAAAACTGTTTGGCACTGAGTAAATTTAACAGAGGGAGGACAAATATTAAGACCAAATTTATTGCGTTCTAGGAAAACATTGCTCAGTGTTCCAGATATCGGAATATCAAGCCATTTTCGAATATAGCCATTCACTACAGAGTCGAGATGTTCTGTTATCCAGGTGTTAGATATATTAGCTATAGTGAAATGCCAGGACAATTTAGATAGGACATAGCGACTGTACAGAAGAAGTTTGTGTTTAGGATGTAGTGGCTTTATATCAATGTCATTCGTCAAGTCTTGTACAAGAGAGGACAATTCAGACATGTGTTGGTGGTTAGACATGTTGAAGTCAAAGAAGCGACCTAAGTAACGAAATGATTCACTCATTTCCACACAGGGAATTAGAACTCCATTGATCAACAGTTTGGGTAAATATTGGACAGATTTTAGTGCACAGTTTCCGTATTCCAAAAGTAGAACATTTATCAACCCTTATTATCATCTTCGACCAATTACACCAGATTATAAAGCGGTTGATTTGATAATAATAATAATAATAATAATAATAATAATAATAATAATAATAATAATGAAACTTATATAGCGCCTTTATCAAAAAATCAAACAACATCAAACAAAATCGGAAAAAATCACGGCCACGGTCAAAAATCGATTTCGCTCCTTTTTTGTGAGCAGTAAGCCTAAGGTGTGTAATGAAATGAAATGAGTTTTTTTTAAAATACTCTTTTTAACGGCCACAAACAATAAAAAAACCGTCTCGACCCAAAATATCAAGATTTCACTGGTTTTAAACGTGAAATTAGACGGTTTTCAGAAAGTCTTCATTCGGACACAAAAACTAAATTCAGACCTTTTTAACTATAGTTGCGTACACTAGGTCTTCCTCTTTTTAAAAATACTAATATATGGGGGTTAATGTTTTAAATAAGAAAATAAATAGCGGATTTGTGTTATTGTTATAGCGGATTTGTGAGGGTAATATGTTATTTATGTAATATGTAATATGTAATGTTATTTACCGCGGCCTTCGGCCTCTGTGGATAACACCCTCCTCGATTTGCTTAATTCTTCATATCCTACTCAGCCTCACTCATTAATTGCTAAATAATAAGTCAGGTATATTGTAATTCTAATAGGCCATTTTCGAGTTGACTCGAGCTTCTGTCTTAAAACTAGGCGAGGTGCGAAGCCTTTTGATACGAAAATAAATTTCAAAAGAGAAAGGTTTGAGGATTGACTTCGTTTTGAAAATGAAAATTGATCACATCAAATGGCTATTGTGGTAGGCCACAGTAATTGCTGTAAAAGAAAAACTAAGTTAGTTTTGATAATTCAGTGCCTGACTTCTTTGTTCCAGATATAAATGAATGTGAAGCAGGAAAGCACAACTGTTATGCAAACGCCAGTTGCAAAAACACTAAAGGATCCTTTGTGTGCACCTGCAAGCCAGGGTATTCAGGGGATGGAGTTAACTGCACAGGTGAAAAAAATACCTCGGTCTTCTTTATAATAAATCTTTTTCTAATCAACCCCATTTATCTCGCATTAGAGCCAAGTTCACCCACAAGGTAGTATACAGCTTAGTCCCTAGAGCTACAGTTTGTTTTTCAATTTAAGATGAAAAAGTATGGAAATGCTCTTGCATTACAAAAGTTTTTGATTTACAGTATCTGTATGCAATTTTACACATGCTTGAAATATTTAAGTTTTTTAATGTGTTATTTTATTGTGCTCCTACAAGATTGCATTTTATAATATCTTGCTTCCTTAGGTCTTGCTAATCCTCTATCTATACACGTGATGTGTTCAATTTTTTTGTGAATTTTTCACCTGCTCAATATATAGCAAAAATGTTTTTGCTTTCTAGCATAGCCAGAAATCTCTCTCTCCCTCTCTCTTCTTATCGTAACCAATCCTAGAAAATAAAAGGTTAAGTAAATCAGTTTTGATGATTTAGTCCTGCATCTGATTTGCAGACGTAAACGAGTGTATAACAGGCGAGCACAACTGTGATGCCAATGCAGCCTGCAATAACAGTGAAGGATCTTTCGAGTGTACTTGCAAACCAGGGTATTATGAGAACGGAGTTAACTGCACAGGTGATTATATTTCAGTACAGACCTGTATTGTCTTAATGTTAAGGCTATTAATTCAGTATTATTTTGTCTCGAGTTCACGCGTTTGAGTCCCTGAGTAGAATTCAAAAGAGACATTTCCAAATGTACAAATAAGAGTTTGAAGTCTAACCTTTGATCGACAAAGTGATCGTTGTCATAATTATCAATTACTGAATGAGGCTGAGTAGGATGTGACGAATTATGTAGAGCGAAGAAGATGTTATCCTCAATCTTGCGGTGACTCAATCCAGCTTGGTCGAAGTTTAGGACATCTGATCAATCCGCTGAAGACGTTACTTCTCCTAGTAAAGATAGATCATAGATAATAAAATAATCAAATCGCAGCCGGCTGAAGGCTGAATTGTTTAATTATTTACAATACAATAAAAGGTATAAAATAATGGCAAAAGACTAATTTCAATTTTGTTAATTAGGAAAAATGATAATGAAGAACTGAAAAAGAAAGGAAAAATAACGTAATAACACTTAATCTTACATTATAATAACATGTTTGGACTGCCGCACATGGCTGGTTTGAACGAATTTTTGCTGCGGTTTGTGCGAAAGTGGGGCAAGTCGTAAACACTCTCATACCTGGTATTGTAGTAGCTTTGGTGGTTCGGAGAAAGCAACAAGCAAGCGAATTTGTGCTTATTCGAGGATATACTATTAAACAGCTAAATACACTGATCGTTACGCCTATCATATATAGTGCTGAGACCAAAACTGACTAAACAGTGTTTGTATGATTTATCATGCAGGCGCTATTATGCAGAGCGCTCTTTTTTGTACACGCTCACTTAGACAGTCGGGTAGGCTATGGTGGAAAATGGGCGAGCAATATTCTAGAATGGGTCTCATTGCTGTACAGTGGAAGTCAACAATATCTTTAAAGCTCAAGTTGAACCAAAAAAAAAAATACAAACGCTTATTTGCTTTCCTAATAGTTTCATTTAGTATTGACCAAATCAGTGGATAGCAATTTTCGCGCGTTCTGATTGGCGACTGGTGATTTTTATCCAACTGATTTGGTAAGTACTAAAACAACTATCCCCCTCATGGTCGGTTCATAGCGCTCGGTATATTCCACCTGACTATTCTGATCACCTCCCCTTCGGGGGATAGTTGTATATTATATAAACGTTCCACTTGAGATCGTTAATAATAATAATAATAATAATAATAGGGACAGTACTTTCCTTAGTATCTTTGCTGTCCCCAACAATGCTGTTTGCTCGATAACGCTCACGCCGACTCGCTTCAACTTTAAGAAGTACATGAAGAGAATCGGCGTGAACGTGAAGTTGGAAGTTATCCAGAAAACGGCATTGCTGGGGACAGCAGAGACACTAAGGAAAGTACTGTCCCAGGAGCCCATCAAATGGAGCCTCCATCTCCTATACAACCCCTTGGAGTCAACCCTTTCCCGAGTAGATTTATAATTAGAACGGTTCCCAGGGGAGACTTCGCGCGCCGACGGTGGGAAGAGCCAATCACAACGACGAAATAACACTGCTATTGTACTTCACCAAATAGCAGGAAATTTGGTGTTGACAGGCCAAACACAATCATATTAAAGCTAGTGAAACGTGACTTTAGCGTTTTCATCCCTCGGAGATTTTCTTTCTTTTCTTTCTAGTGGGTAGATTATACTGTGGAGAGTTTTACACTCTGACTATGTTAATCTTAATTTTGGTTGCTTGTCTCACATTAAGAGGCCATGAAACTGGTCTGTTACTTGCATAATGATTAACTACTACCTGCAGTCTGTAGTTCTGACAGGATTCGTTTTCTTTAGCCAATTTTTTTGAGCGTTAAGGTTCTCATTTCGGCTAAATGACTCAATATTAATCAAATTTCTAGTTTTTCAAGGCTTTCTTTATTCCGAAATGCGTTTATCTGAATAAATACTTGTAGTCCTTATGGTTGTTTTGTCCGTCAGCTAGTGCGATGATTCCCTGCCATGTCTTGAAACGCCGGGCCCTGCCATTGTTTTCTCGCAAAAAAGTGATCTACAGATGCGAATTCGAAGGCAAGAATTGAGCCTAAACTTCTACATTAACTGCTGAGAATTGTCCTGTTAGTCAGTCATAATTCTTTTGGCGCAGATACAATCCATTTTGTTTTTCTTGAGATAAGTGGGTCTTTGGACTTGACCGCGATGTCACAAATTCCTCCGCTAGCAAATTATTCACGGTCGAGCAACTGTTGTCTTCTGTTCAACTTTTCAAGTGCCAGTTTTATCAGGCAACTCTCATGGTGATACAAGTCAATTGTAAAGGAAAAATGCAATTTCTCAAATTTCGGAACTGAAGCATTCCTCGTTAGTTGCTACTTAGGTCATCGCTTTTGCACGCGGTGCTTAACTGGCGAAATCCACTCCACGGTGATGACAAAAATCAAATGATCCTGGCACTTTTTCGGCGCTGATCATCGAATAGTTCTAAATCGTCCACAGAACGCTTAATCGTCGACTCTTTTCAAGGTGCATGCTTAAATGTGGGATTTATGGTGGCCAAAAAAAAAAAACCCTTTCCGTGATCCTCAGTTCGCTGCCTTTTTCCCATCCCTTCATGCTCAGTCTCATTTCATGACACCTAGATCCCAGCGGTTGTAAAATTGTAAAAATGGACATATAGGAAAAAAGGAAAACGGTCGAAGGACGGGCTTCTGAGTTCGAATTCATCCAACTTCATTTTTTTCACGGTGACATACGAGACTCACGGAAATATGACACTTTTCGCGGGAAACAAGCCGTGCTATTTATAAATCTACTCGGGAAAGGGTTGACTCAAGAAATTAATGGGGATGGAGGCTCCATTTGATGGGCTCCTGACTGTCCCTGTAAGAAGAAGGAAGAGAGAGCCCTGGGACCCGTGGTGACTAATATAGCAATAATAATAATAATAATAATAATAATAATAAAATAATAAAATCTTTATTACAAAACCTCAATTAAAATCCTATTTACATTCAACCTGCTGTTACAAAAAATCTAAATTAATTCATCAAAACACTATCTACAATTCCATCCGTTACAAAAGTGACCCCTCGGCCTTCATTAGAGAACAAAAACAATCCTATATATAATAAGTGAAGAAAGAAACTATTCATTTACAAATTCTAAAAAAATAAAAGTAACTTAACCTTACACAAAAGAAGAGGAAATAGATATAATTAATAATAAAAATTCAAAATTCTATAAAATTAAGAATTCCATCATGCAGAGATATTAAGATTAAACAATCGAATTATACTAATGACGGCTAAACCAGTGTCCATAAAAAGCCATAAGTATAAAAGCATATAGACACGTATTTCAGATATCCGCACTAGCGACATTTATTTTACAGTCTAATGATTGCTCTATCTTGCTACGAAACGGCTTTCGCGAACCTCTGACGCATGCATGTACCGATCTTAAGAGTTCAAAAGAGATCTGTGTCCTGAGCCAAGAGATTACAACATGATAAGGCACGGTGTCTTTCTGAGCTATCTTGTCTGCGAGATGCTTTAAGAACCGCTGACACTCGTTTCCCATTCCGCCATTGGTTCCAAACACTAAAGGCGTAAACGAACCCATTTCTACATCTAGCACCCGCTGCTGGTACTTGCGCTTCTTCTCTTCTTCTTGCTCTTTGAACACTTCCGATGTTGGCTTGCTCTGGTAACACTTGGAGTTGACGTGCGTAACTCTAACCTCAAAAAATGCCGTAACTCCTCTTGCCCAGAAACCTCCCGCTTTGATATCCAACCTTGCCTCAGAACTTGTAACAGCGCTCCTCAAATGAAATCGCTCGTTGTCCAGGGGTTGAAGGCGTGGTTCGATTTCGACATTATTGCAGATCTTGTCGATGAATGTCGTTAACAAGTTCCGTACACCGTCATGTCTCTGCAATAATAATAATAACAATAATAATAATAATGATAATAATAATAATAATGGAAACTTTATTTGTGTTTTTGAATGTACAATTGTAAATCTCGCTACGTATAGGTAATTTAAAAATGTTGCTTGAAATTGGATTATTAAAAAGAACAAAAACAAAAACAAAACAAAAACAAAACAAATGTTGCTCTAATGGCTATATTTATCATTTTCCTGATTATATAACGTTGCTGCTTTTTGTCGATGCCAATGTCATTCATCATGTCTAAGAACGTGGAGCATTCATCGGAGAAAACGCCAAGGGAACTCATGGAGAGATTTACAAATCTCACACATCTGTAATTTCTACTCATTTCGTTGATCACGTTCAGATATTTTTCTTTCTTACGCACTGCATTGTTGTTAAGGTTAGACTCGAAACCAACTGATAATTCTAGAACATATAGGCACTTGGACTGGATTAGGAAAAGAAGATCTGGACGATAATTATCACCAGTTATTATTGAGGGATTCAGAAAACCATTAACATCTGCATAGAGTGAAGAGTGAGCACTAATTACAGGTTGAAGTGACTTGGCAATGAAGTTAAGGATTGAGTCGCTTCTCCAGGTTAAGCGATCAAGGTACTGTTGACAACCAGCGACAACATGAAGGAGTGATTCAGGATTAAGGCAAAAGGAGCAATGAGGACTTTGTGAGAATCCCCATCTTGCCATATTCTTACGTGTAGGGAGGGAGTTGTTGATGAAGCGAATGGTAAAATTGTAAATGTTCTTGGGTAGATGAGACTGGGCCTCTGACCAAATAGAATTTACAGATGACAATGAGTACTTGATAACATTTGAGAAGAAGAAACCTCGAGATATTAGGTGGTGTTGCAGTTTATCCTCTTGATTATAATAATAATAATAATAATAATAATAATAATAATAATAATAATATTAATAATAATAATAATAAACACAAGTGCTCCAATAGACCTATTCGGCTAACGCAATGTTGTACCCAATTCAGATCTCTCGGGGTTAAGATTCTTTGTGCACTGTATTTGCATTATAAGGTGGCATTCACATGTAAATGATATGGAAATTCCTGAAACAAAACCTTTTATTCCCAAAGGGTTTGAATTGGGTACAACATTGAGTTAGCCGAATTGGTCTATCAGCAATCTGTTTTATATAGATGATCTAAAATTGTATAGCAAGAACGAGCAAGAACAAGTTGGAGAACTGAAAATAGTGAAACAATTCAGTGATAATATTGGTATGGAATTTGGACTTGAGAAAGAGAGGTAAACTGGCCTCAACTGGAAACATAGTAATAGATGATGACACAGAAATACAAGAGTTGGACCAGGAAGGACTATACAAATACCTGGGTGTAGATGAAAGTGATGGTATCCAGCATAGCAAAATGAAAGAGAAGATAAGAAAAGAATATAATAGGAGAGTAAGATTAATCCTAAGAACTGAGCTCAATTGAAGAAACAAAATAGAAGCTATAAATAGTCTTGCAGTCCCAGTTGTGCAATATAGCTTTGGCATCATTGACTGGAAAATCTCAGAACTGAAGAAGATTAACACAAAAACACGCAAACTGTTGAACATGCACAAGATGTTAAATCCTAAAGCAGATGTGGAAAGGCTGTACATCCCAAGATAAGATGGAGGTAGGGGCCTGATTGATGCAGAAACAGCATTTAAAACAGCAGCAATAGGGCTTGATCACTATCTGAAGCACAAAGAAGGGCAATATCCAAAGCAGGTGCTTGAACATGAAAGATCTAAAGCCAAAAATTCAAAATCCAAGAATGCTACTAAATTCAATAGGGAAGTAACAATGCCAGAGATTGAGAACAGAGAAGATAAAGATGTGTTTGTTATTTTTAAAGTCGATGATCATCTCCTTGCATTTGTCAGCGTTTAGTTGCATGCATTGCTCACGTCACCAGTCCTCGGCGGCATCAACTGCGATTTGAATGTAACCCTGTGGACCTCGCGGGACTAACTCATCAATAGAAGAGAGATTAAGCATCGCGTTTACGGCAAACGGCAAACTTGAGATTCAAGTTGAGAAATTTTTAAAATGAGAAATGAGCAGATAAAAGCAGCTTAAAACAATTCTATGGATAAAATTGGCCTGAATCTACCGATTTTTGTGTAGGTTCCTTACGTTCGCCGTTTGCCGTAAACGCGATGCTTAATCTCTCTGGTAAGTATCATCAACGTACAAAATGTGCTTCTATGTGTCCACACTGAAAACCCCTGAGGAATAACGATGGGCCTAGTTTGGTTCCTTGAGGCACACCAGCGGGCACAGGGCTCCATTCATTAAAAAAGTTTCTAGACAAATTACTCGTTGATGTCTATGCGTTAAGACGTCGGCGACCCAGAGGGCAACAGCGCGAGGAAAAGATAGGCGAAAACTTTGCGCACCAGTAGCGTGTGGTCGCTGAGATCGAAGGCCTTCCTGTAATCAAACGGTACGACTCTCACAGCAGTCCCAGACCCGTCGGTGTCTTGCAACCAGGTACAAGTAGCATGTAGGTAAGAGCGTGTAGGGTAGAGGACGCTGGTATTCAACCATAATGATTTGGATCAATCACCTCTAGAACCGCGGGGCCGAAATGGAGAGCGACGACAAAGTGCTGTACAAGTTCAGATATTACGAAGGTTAGGGAGATCGGACGAAGATCTTTGTTGATGTTGATAACAGGTTTTAGCTTGGGGAGAGGCACCATCTTCCAGGATGACGGGAGTCTCTGCTCCGCGAAACTTCTGTTTTGCAGAGCTGTAACTGGGAAAGCAAAGATGCCTGCGTACGCCTTCACCATACTACCCCATCTAGTCCTGCCGCCTTCATAGAGTTAAGCCTTTTTAGTGCGGATAAAACGGCGGGTTCAGATAGAGTCAGCGGTGACAAATCCTCACTGTGTGACGGGAGGAATTCAATCCTTTGGAAGGACTCCATAGGTTGTAGGAATCGTGAGTTGATTTGGCTGGCAATCTCTTTGTCAGACAGAAGAGCGGAACCTCGATCTATAAGTTGGCAAACAAAGGGTCTGAGCCAGGAGCGAGAGCCATGTCAGCGATCCACTTGACCGCACTCCACCACTAGCTAGGCTTGGTTTTCTTTAGGTAGTTCACTTACGAAGCGTAGTAGCTGCTACGGAGAACTATCCTCTGTCTAAAGGAATAGCGCCAAATAGCATATGACATGATACCACATAGCATACCGGAAAGCATATGACATGATACCACATGGTTGGATTGTCAAGTGTTTGGAGATGCTTGAAATGGCTGAGAACTGAGAAAAGGTTTTTTAATTAATGGTATGCAGACATAGAAGTAGAGTTATCATCATCAGGCGAGAGGTTGGAAGTCATTAATTAGAAGAAGAGGCATATTCCAGGGCTACTTGTTTTGTGCATGATTCCATTAACGAACGAAGTATTTAAGGTTAAACATCTTTCTTATGGACGAATTAAAGTTGTTTGGGAAAAGTGAAGACCAAATAGATTCGTTGGGGTAAACTGTACAGTTGCTTAGTGAGGATGGAATTTGTATTGAAAAAGTGTAGTGTGTTGAGTAGTGATAGAGGGATTAAGTTAAGCCCTGTTGGGGTCAAGTAAGTGTCGAGTAAGGTTGAAGTAAATCATTGATATGCATAAGGTTCGAGTCCTTGACGTTACCCATTGTTTTAACCTAGGGAAAAAGTGGGCTCCTCCATGCGTTCCTCTTATAAAGTAGGAACAGGCTTTGTCTAGAATTACCCGGAAGTAACTTGAGCCCGGTTTGCCGGAACGGCCTATTAAAAGAATAGGAACAAGAAAAGCGATCACCTAGCAACACGAGAAACGGCTTATGTTTTCTATTATTATTTAAGCGCTAAAAATCGGATATATGAACAAAACACACACACAGAAAGTGGAGCTAAGACCTCTTTATTTTAATTTTGTCTGGCCATTACAAAACCTCTCAGAGCTTATGGTCTTGTTATTTTCAAGCGCCGTTAGTCAGTTAATTATATGCGAAGGAAAAAGCCGACATTTGCATACAAAATGGCTCCACAGTAAAAACCCCAAGGGAGAACCTTGACTTGTTATTACAAAAACACAAAAAAACAATTATTAACTTAACAAGGATCAAATGAAACACGTTACTAATAAACGCTAGCAATAAAACCAGTCAAGAGAGGTAAAACCAGATATCTGTTTTGCAACTGAAAGTATCGTTTATCTTTTTCATCGTCCCTAAGATCGTTTACAGAAAGCACATCATACATGTTGCCCTGTATTTCTTGCATAGCTGGAAGAAGCGAGACGGGCGAAAGATTTTGCTGCTTTAGGGTATTTTAGAAGCTCTTAAGGAATACTCTCTTGATACCCTGCTTGGTTAAAGCCTTCTTCACTGGGTAGGAGGATCTTCGCAGTGGGCAATTATCTTGGGTAGTAGTTTTTAGATCAATCAGCAGATAACCAAAAGGTCTTTTTACAGCCTCTTCGTACTGATTTAAAAAGAAATATGTTTGCCCGGGATACATTTGCTTGGCCAGAGTCAAGTTTTGCAATTTGTCTCGTGGATTCATGAGTAACAGCAAATAATGACCGTTTAGGCTTATGCTGCGACTTCCCTTCCCCTGATGAAATAGATTCTGCACGATATAAATCTCGCTGAGATTTCGATGATGACAACCTCGAGTAAAGAGGTTCACAATTGCTTGTCTTAACTGGCGTCAATCATCTGATCATCAAACACGATCAGATTCCGTTTTTTCAAATCAAAACAGGAATCCTGCTCCAAAGCCGTAGAAATTCCCTTGATGAATTCAATGTGTGGCATGACGACCAGCATTTCTGTATACACAGGCTACCATTGTGAATAACACCAAACGATCCTCCCTGGGGGAAGGTAAATTGCCTCTGAAACTTGATGTAATAGAGATAGAACCCAGGCCGCTTTTTCGGACTTGGTCATTCCAGCAGTCATGGAGGTGAAAGGATGCTCAAAGCGAAACCGCTGACATTTCTTTGAAGACATCGGAACTGTTTGAAATGGGGTGAGACCAGCATTGTGGTGTTTAGACATTGCGTGCCTTTGCATGCTATCTTTTCTACTAAGCGATTTTTCGTAAACTGAACAGAACCAACTCAGGAGCAGAATGTAGACTGAGAAAAAGCTAGAATGTTGCGCGTTTATATAGGTTTGGCAAGCCATGAAACCACATTTCTATTGCTTCCCTTCTCCTCCGCCACCACCACCACCACCACCACCACCACACTTCTATTGTTAAGTTATTAACTGTTTTTTTTTTTCGTTGTTGTTTTTATAATAATATGACAAGGTTCTCTCTT